AGGAGCAAAGCACCTGACAGCAACACGTTTAATGGGTTAAAGGGACAGTCCCATGTAGGAGCAAAGTGATCTAATGACAGTTAAATTTTTAATGTGTCTGCCCATCTGTATATTAAACCAATTAGCCTGTTACATTTACACACTAACACAGTAACATTGCTTTAGTAATCAGTATTGTTACCTGATCAGCTCATGGTCCTCTGGTCCTATATTAGAATTGACAGGTCCAGTAGTCCTCCTTTCCTTAGCATGGGGTCGCCTGAGTTTGCCTTGTTGCTGTGAGAGGTGAATGTGAGGGTAACAGGTGTATGGACTAAGCTCTGGCTAAACACCTGCTTTGTGTGTGTAGGGAGGAGTGCAGTGTGCGTGGGGTGGACATGCTTCTTACATGGAGAGTCTCTTTAATGATCCCCCCTCCTCCCCATATCCCATCTGCCTCCTCTCTGAACCCCTGCACGGCTTCTAACTCTATGTCACTCCCACTGTATTTTGGGTCTGTTCTGTCTCCTTTACAACTCTGTCTCTCCCCCAAACTTTTTCTCTCTGTCCTCTCTCCATACTCTGTTTTCCACTCTACCTCTGTTACACGTTAATTCAGCTGAATAAGTTACATAGTGGGTGATATTATCTAAACCGAAATAGTGAAGAATTCACAAGGGGATTGTAAAATTTAGTTTAAAACAACCAAGTGGGCGAGGTAGCTGTGCTGAAAATTTGTTCTCGTTCAGTTATATTTTCCTAGAATTCCCAACCCGTTAGTTCTGAACATATTGAATATATTCTCTACAGAGTGTATGTGCTGAATCTGTTTATTATAATATGCAGGATCTATTTGTTAAACCATTTATATACTATGCATCAGTGTATGTACGGATCAGCCTCAACATTGAAATCACCTGCCAAATATTATGTATTTCCCCCCTCGTGCTGCCAAAACGCATCATGCAGCTCTGATACGTCATGGACATGGACTCTAGGCATGGACTCTACAAAACCTCTGATCGTGTCCTGTGGTATCTGGCACTAAGACATTAGCAGCAGATCATTTAAATCCTTCGAGGTGGGGCCTCCATGGATCGGTCTTGTCGTTTCATAAATCAGATTTAGATCTGGTTAATCTGAAAAAAAAGGCAACACCTTGAAGTCTTTTTCATGCTCCTCAAACCATTCCTGAACATTTCTTGCAGTGGGGCAGGGAGCCGTTTCCTACTGAAAGAGTCCACTGCCATCCGGGGACACCATGGCCATGAAGCCTGCAACAATCTCTGGGTAGGTGTTACGTGTCAAAGTAACATCCACATGAATTGCCAGGATCCAAGGTTTCACAGTAGAACATTGCCTAGAGCATAACATTGCCTCCTCTGGCCACCTTCTTCCCATAGTGCATCCTGCTGCCATCTCTTCCCCAGGTAAACAACGCACATGCACCTGGCCATCCACCTGATCTAAAAGAGAATGTAATTCATCAGACCAGGCAACCTTCTTCCATTGCTTCATGGTCAAGTTCTGACGCTAACTTCCCCATTGACAGCACTTTCGGCAGTAGACATGAGTCATCATGGAACTCTGACCGGTCTGCGGCTACGCAGCAAACTGTGATGCACTGTATGTTCTGACAACTTTTTATCATGGCCAGCATTACGTTTATCAGCAATTTTAGCTACAGTAACCCTTCTGTGTGATCGGACCAGATGAGCTAGCCTTTGTCCCTATGTGTATCAATGAGCCTTGGGCACCCATGACCCTGATACTGATTGCACCACTGTTGGTGGTTCTAACCAATCCATACTGGGAACATACCACAATACTTGCCGTTTTAGAGATGCTCTGACCCAGTGGTCACTATTTGACCCATGTCAGACTCACTCAGATCTTTTCACTTGCTGCCTGATATATCCTACTCATTGATAGTTACGCTGTATATGCTCAATCTGTTTATAATTGCTCTGAAGTTGATAACTGGACTCTGGGGATACATGTTTGCGTGGCACAACTCTTAGCATTGATATAGGGTGTCCTCTCTCACTCATTTAAAAAGGTTCAGGGCAGCAAACTGTAAATCTAGAAATTGTGTAATTTTTGTCTCACCATAAAAAAAAGCGATATATTTTATATAAAAAGACTCGTGGTCGTCACTGAGCAAATTGCTGGCATTTCATACTTTGACTATAAATAAAAACCTCGCTGGTAATTTAGAAAATGAAAAAAGTTCTAGCTGGCTTCATAAATAAAAATAAATATTTTATAATTAAATAATAAATAAAATGTATCTTCTCTGAAAAGAAAAAAAAAACAAAAATGAATCCACGGGGAGAAAATGCTGTAATGAAGTGTCGCGCTCCCATTAATACGTTTTTATAGACAGAGAGCTCTCCCCTCCAGGGACAGTGAATACACATCTCATGATATCCTAATGGGGCGGAAATATCGGCAGCTGTTTGGCTGTTTAGTGTTTACCTGGAATGGCTTATTAGGTGCTCGGTATCAGACAATAAATCTCCGGGCTGCGGGGGAATAACAGGCCCTGTTTGTAAGCTTTTGCAGGTTGTGTGGGGATTTTTCACACAGACGATTACTGCGATTTAAGCAGCGAAACATGAAATCGAGCTGATGCACTGATTTGGCCAGTGGTTTAGGAAAAAAAATAGGTCCTTCTTTATTCACTCCACTGGGAAATTGCAGAGAATTACAAGGAAATTACTATACTTTTTTCTCGGAATCTGCTGTTTTTCTAACTCAGATATTGTGGACAGTGACTTGCAATCCCCCATTTTATATTCTGCAAGTTCCAGTTTTGTGAATAAACCCCCTGGGAGCATAGGAATAATATGCTGGGAGCTCAGTGGATTTGTTAACCTTCCTTTAGAGCATATTGTGAAAGGAACGTTGGGCCGGTTTGTGGTCTTGATTTGTTCTGCATTACTTTACTGTCACGTGGATGCCGTGGCACAGTTTATTGTGGTATCTGCCATTTTGCATCACTAGTTACTCGAATACCCTATATAATACATATCCAGACATTGGGAGGTATTTGCTGAAGCAGGACATTAACCAGCCAAGAAAGGCAGGAGAGGGCCCCAAAACTGTGACTGCTCTGCTAAATGTGGGCTCTTGGGGTTTAGGCAACCTGTCTTAATCAATCCTCCCATTACTTCACCGAATTCCTCTTTGCCGGGTTGTGATATGTCTCCCTAGCACAGGGGCAGACAAACTGTGACACATAATGCTCTTACAGTCTTAATGCTTTGCCAGCGTTATAACGCTAAGAGCATTATAGGAGATGTAGTCTACAACATATGGAGTGCCGGAGGTTGCCTACCCTTGCTCTAGCACTTTGAATTAGATATAAAATTCACAAACTTACAAATAAATGTCTGCACACAGTGTTTTTCTATATATATTTATATATTTTATTCATTTGATTTTTTTAACAAAGCCTATAAAAATGTGTATAAAAAGGCACAATTTGCATGTGTGTAGAGCAAAGAAAACGATTCGTTCAGGAGAAATATTTCAGTACGTGTAAACGTTAGATCCCCTAGTGTGCACAGCAGTGAACGAGCCCTAAAGTGGGTCATAAACAGGACATTTCGGAGTTTGAGGTCATTCCAGAATTCTCAGTGAGCTGACATTTCCACGTAATGACTTCATTAAACTGACCTATTTGTCTACCAAAGGGTTAATAAGTGACAATAAAGATGAGATCCTCCATTGTATGAGTGGAATATAACTCATCCATCGATACACAGAACATCACGCTTTTAAACAATCCAAATCCTAAACCAGTGTCAAGTTTTACTGAGTTCATATTTTTGCTGGGCCAGATTATTTCTAGTCGGTGGTCATGTGGCACAAGGAGAGGGGCAGTGATAGGTTGAATGGTTTGCCACCGTAGTAAGAGAAACACAAAGCTTCTGATACATTCTGTTACTGTAATTGTTTATATTGACAGATACTTTTAATTTAGTTTTCATTACATTTTACAGCAATCACGTAATGCTGTCGCAAACCTGGCCATCCCAAAGCTGCGTGGCTGGTAAGGAGTAATGGGAGTTAAAACAACAAAGAGAACATTGTAGGTGGAGAGTCAGGGAAATAAACAGTGTTTGTAAGGATCCTATTCGCTACATAAGGAGCTGTAAAGTGGGAATATACACCTGCAAACGTTTCTCTAATCTGCTAAACAGCATTTATTTCTCGTTAAACTATTGTAACTTTAAGGAAGACTGATCAATTTAGTAAAAACCCTTTCGGGGTGACACCTCTGGATTAGATTTGCTACTTAATTCTCATGTTCCTGTAGAGCAGATATGTTTCAATCTTTGCTCTTTAAATGTCTTAAGAAATCGTAGGAGGGACAGCAGCTTGATGTGGATATTGTCGTTGGTTCTGAAAAGCAGATTTTTAATGCCCTGATCCGAGTTTGGAAAATGCAATAAGCATTTAACATTTTCTTTATCGTAAATGAAGGCAATGGGAGCAGAACATCTGCCTAATTCTACACAAACCGTATGCACTAGGGGTGCATCAGGGATGTATTCACTAAACAGTGAATTTGGCAGCTAAATTGCGTAGGGTATGTCAAAATAGCTATTCTTGGCATTCTGACTAAATTAAGTATACTGGGTAATTCACTGTTTAGTGATCTCTCCCGCCTCACTTTCTAGCCGTCTCCAATTTTTGTTGCTGCCTGTTTCCGTAAGAAATACATTTTTATAATGTTGGGATATACAGTTGAGGGCAAGGCCCACATCCTTCAGTTAGAAACACATATGCTACTAGATAAAACATTTTTGGATAATATCCGATTTTGGGAGGGGGTGGGGGGACAAAAATCTGCTCCTTGGGAGGCAGTTACACCCTTGCCAATATATACAGATAAATAAATATATCCCTCACTGTTTTACTTTCCTGAACATCTTTATTCCCAGGCGAAGATTTGGGAAAAGATGGGATTTTGTTGAAAGTCTTTGGTTTGCCATGGAATGGATTTCACTGGCTCAGTGCTGAGAGGGAATGCAGTAGTTATGCTGACGCGACAAAACAAAGCCGCGGGGACAGACGCACTCGTACGATCCATCAGTGTTACGGCACTGCCCGTTCAGACACAGGAGAGACATATCATCCGCTTCATCACATTCATTGATATCTAGAAAGAAAGAGTTTAATGAGTTTATATCCTACTGTCAGATGCTGAGAATATCTCATTTAACCTAAAATAATTCCTCTACAGTTTATGCCTGAATCAGACCAGCTCATAGTTACTGATTGGAAAGGAGTCGGAGTAGGAGTGATTGGCCCAACTTGTACTCAGTGTAGCTAGATAGATGAAACAAAATTGGGAAAAAGCAAGAATAGCTCCCTTATAGGCCTTAGTTTAATCTGTTAAATTAGTATCAGAATTATTCCAATCTGCTAGAAAAACAACAACATTTCAGGTGATTTATCTACAAAAAGTCATGACTGACCCGGCTAGCCATGGTTTAAGAATTTTACTAGACAACAAATTTTAGTGAACGTTAAACTGACTAGCAGAATCCGGGATAAATTAGCCAAACTCTAGTTGTACTGGAGATATTTCTTTTCCCCAAATCAGCTATTTTCCAGTTTTGCAATTGGGCTTTCAATTCAATGTTTTGTGAATAAACACCAAAATGAAATAATTTAGTTGTGAATGCTCTAAAACATCTGGAAAATAATATGACAGAGAGAGGTTTTAAGCCGACTACCAGCATTCAGGAAGGAGACGGGGTACGTGTCGGTCTATATTTTGGAAGATAAAAACTGAAATAAATTTTACTTTGGACTCATTTTCCTTCGTTTGAATGTATCTCTGTATTCTCTACATCCCTCTAAGAGATCTGCAGTGTAGACCCATTTTTTTTTAATCTGTCCTTTACCAATGCATGCCATCCGTGTGATGTCCAGCCTGTAGCCATCATAGCAGTCACACGTGTAGCCCTCGGGGACACGGATACAGCGTCCATTCTCACAGCCGTTAACAATGCCGCACTCCTCAGCTTGCAGACCCTCAAACTGCTCATATCGATCTGCGGAAAAAACAGAAGCATGCACCACTAATTTAATTAGGTCAAGAGACCCCAACTTAAAGAGCACATGAAATACCAATGCATTTTTTTTAAATAGGAAAACTAAAAACAACTTCTAAACTCAAAAAAGTGTCTAGTTATCCTGTAATGTAGGAAACTGATTTTTATTAACATTCTCCTAAAAAAAAAGATAGTATGGGCAGAACACCCCCAGAAATGCTACAGCAGCGCCTGGTTAAAATAAATCAAACGTAAACCCAAAATATAAAAAAACTGATTAATAAAACGAAAATAACCCCCAACAGACTGTTTGGTGTAGAACACATTGCATTTTAGTCAACACTGATATGTTGGGAACTGGAAAGTAAATTGTAAAATTGAAGGTAAATTAGCCGAGCTGTGAAAGCGAACTTGAAGAATTTTTCCAAAACAGCTGTTACTGTTTACATTTTACCATTCAGTCTTCAGTTCACTATAGTTCGGAGTTTAGTGAATAATATTATTGGAGGTCTATGCGGCTGCACTTGTTTGTCACTGGTGACCTCTCTTGCTATCGATGAGCTGATGACAATCCCATTTTTGGGAAAGTTTCCTGTGATTAGTCATCGTCACGTCATCTTATCAGTGGCATTCAGTAACGTCAGAGCCAGATTAAGAGCCCATTGGGCCTGCTGCTGACAATTATGAAGGGCCTAAGTACAGAATCATATCGACCAAAAACACTAAAAGACTCATACCTCTCAAGCGTTATGTATCTGGTGGAGATGTTGCCGGAGGGAAACTCATAGGACGCAGCTATAAAAAAAACTCAGATTCTCTTAAAATATGATAATCTCTCTCTAAATCATGCTTTCATCTTTCAAGTAAATCCATAACCCCTAACAGCAGCGTCCACGGAAGCAGGAAATCAATGGGCAATGTAAAAGGGTGGGCCACTGACGCAGATCATGTAACCAGAATTTCCAAAAGGGATGGACATGCCCAAAAAAGAATTGGAAGGCTAGTCTGGCATGAATGCATGCTGGCCAACAGCATCCTGAGCTTGGCATAAATGCCTCTAATGATGCGCTTGCTCCGTGCTTTCTTAGGACTGTCCCCTAGCACTCACATGTCCACTTATCTCCTTACCTTCTTACTAGCAGGCAGAAGCTCCTGGTATACAGTCTGAGACAGAGAAAAGGTGGATGAAGTGAGTGTAGAAGAAAGGGAACATGCCAGTGTTAGAGAGACCAAAGTCATCATTACCTTAACTCATTTCATCTAGTCCACACAAGTTTTTTTTCCATATATGCTTCTTAAATTTCCATACTTAAACAAGAATATGTGAAGAGTAGTCAGGGTTGCCAAATTGCATAACTAATTATGTATGCGTGACATCACATGATGTAAATTATAAGGAGTGACAGAGAAAATTCTGTGAAATCACCAAAAAACTACTTAGTTTGATTCTGCTGTATAGATGGATTGCTCCCAGTGTCTCCCTGTCTCCCAGTGTTTCCATGTCACCCAGTGTCCCCTAGTGTCTGTGTTCCCAGGTCTCAGTGTCCCCTAGTGTGTCTGTGTCCCCATGTCTCCCAGTGTCCCCTAGTGTCTCAGTGTTTCCAGGTCTCAGTGTCCCCTAGTGTTTCAGTGTCCCCATGTGTGTGTTCATGTCTCAGTGTACCCAAGTGTGTCTGTGTCCCCGTGTCCCTAAGTGTCTCAGCGTCCCCAGAGGTCTCCATGTGTCCCCATGTTTCCCAGTGTCCCCTAGTGTCTCAGTGTCCCCATGTCTCCGTGCAGCCTTTACCCCATCCCTCACTTCCCGGAGCTGTAGTCTGTCTCTGCAGGCTCGGAGCTGCTGTCTGGACTCTCTGTGCTGTGTAGCTGCTCCCCTGCGGATCAGTGAGCAGAGAGATGCATGGGGACACTGAGATATGCTGTAACTTTCTATCCCTTCCTCTCCCCAAACACACAGAGCGACACCTACTGGCCGGTAATGGTATTGCAGAGTAATCTCTGTTTATACTGAGAAAAATACTGGCATTTGTACTGCTGGTATTACTGCAATATCGGCACTGGCCAGGCAGCCTCAAATAAATACCGGCCAGGTGAACAACCCTAAGAGTAGTGTGTAAAAAAAAAAGAAAAAGTGTAATTTTTTTTTTTTTAAATCAATGGGCCTATTCCATGGGCCTGGGCCTGCAGCTGCAGCTCCATCAGCCCCTATGTTAATCCGGCCCTGAGTAACGTGTGAATTCAAACCAGGTTATTTACTAAGAACTGAACTTGGTCTAAATTGCCAAAATGTGATTAAAATAACTCCATTTTAATTCACATATTTTACTAAAGGAAAATCCAGTTGTAATGTGGTTATTTACAAATCCTATATAAAGCATAGGCTTCACATATTTACTGAACACCAAATTGAAACTGAATCTTGCCTGGAACAAGGCGAATCCTCAAAACAGACTCACCTGCTATTTGCAGGTAAATCTATTGGAATAAAGTTTTTAGAGAAATTCTGATTAGCGGTTTGGATGTTCAAACATCTTATTTCTTCTTCTCTGATTGGCTCATTCTTCAAGCCAACCAGTTTTCAAAATGTTAGTGCTAGCAAAGCCGGCTGACCATCATAAAAATTGCAGTTCTACTACAGGTAGGGGTATTAACCATTTGGTTACTTTAATCAAGGCCCCCATGATTGGGGGCCCAGGGAGAGACAAGAGGCTGGTGCCCCTTTTCTTCTATGACAATCCCCATCATGCTGCTAGGCAGTAGGGGGTTAAGGTGGACCTGAGACAAGCTCACACCTATTCTCATTATATTTATACTCCATTCAATTGCTCAGGGCTATTTAGTGGACATGCCCCCCACCTGTGGCATGTCAGGAGGGGGTTAAGACAAGACATTATCTGCTTGATAGTTATGTGTGGTTGATATCATGCAGATATACAACTAAAACAATCCCGATGGATAATCGGGTGGGGTGGGTGGGGACCTGAAGAGGCATCACCAGTATTGTGACCTGCGTCGCTAGCTATGCCCATAATGGGAAAAGGGGCAAAATAGATGCCAGCACGCAGCCTTCAGGACCATATAGGGCTATGCTGCCCGCTATCTGCTCATAGAGAAGATTAAAACCATTCCTACTCTACGAGAAGCCCTCATTTATGCTTGAAGCAAATGATGAGAGGGAGCAAAGATGGGAACTCTCCTGGCTGGCTGGCTGGCTGACGGTCAAAAGATGTAACCAAGGACTACAAAAGTGTTGCTTTCTCTTGAAATCAGCAGTTATATAAAATAAGAGAAAGGGGACATGCTCTTAAAGCAGTTCAGAAACCTAAAGTGTTTCGGCATTTTCCTTTAACAACAGTAAACCCCTTAAGGACGGAGCCAATTGTCTAAGTTTTGACCAAAACAAAACCTAGAGTTTGAGCTATATGTTTGTTCAGCCATAATTTACCTCTTTCATATTAAGGGCACCCACACCCGCATTGAAGTTGCTGTTTAGTGGAAAAGTAAGTGCGCTGGATCTTGTGTTTTGTATTATTTGGCCCCCAGCAGCACCCCATTTATGCATGTTCAGGTGAGTGCAGCCGCCTGGTTTCATATATATATTATTGGGAGTCTAGCCAACTCCTTGGTTTTGCACCCCTCCCTGTCACAGGTGCCTCATCCCAGGGCCCTATTTAGCCTTGTACTGCAGAGAGCCCCAGATGGAATTTCGTCCCCAAGTAAGTGGGTTAATCTCATAAGAGCAAACATTAGGCTGTTAGTGTAGGACCTGCCAAGAATGGGGTACGTTGATGGTGTGGCAGGCTTATGCAATGTATGATCATATAATGTAACTAAACCTCCATTATTTTTTTCTAGATTAGGTGTTTTTAAAAAAACAAAAAAAAACATAATTTAATATGAATAAAATCTTAAAAAGTGTGAGAAAAAGTTCTGCATGACATTTTAACTGTGAATAAAACACACATATTTGTATACTGTGATGTCTCACAAGAACATTGATGCCCCTGTGTACAGGTTTCATGGTGTTTTGGAAAGTTACAGGGCAAATAAAGAGTTTACAAATTAAAGTCTCTGGTATTTCTGCTGGGCTGTCATAAATTTATATATACACTGTTATACATTATGCTGTTTTATATATGTATACAAACTGTTGCCATGAACCTACACTCCAGAGTCCAGGAGTAGTGATGCCTGGTGGTGGTCCACAAACATAAAGTATATGTAATAAAAGCACTTGTGGGACTTGAAGTACAGTTTTAAAATAAAACTTGAGTTTTATTTGGCTTTACAAATAAAATGTCAACGTTACAGGTTTTATCAGGACAAACGTCATGTGGTCCCCCTAATGCGATCAGTGCACAGGCTGAGGGGGTGCCAGAATATTAGGGTGGCATTAAAGCCGTAATGTCAGGTAGGATTAACATTTACTAACGACAAACATGGAAAGCAGAGCGACTCCTATTGTGGGTTTAGTCTTTGCTGAGATTGCGATGACACCTGGATAGGTATTAGGAATACATTGTATAATATGAATATCTGCATTCAACTTACAGCATATTTACTAAACTGAGAATTTGAAGGGAATTTCTGAAGTATTGCTCCTATTTGCTTAACTTCTACATCTTTAGAAGCTGCATTTTAATGGTGGCTGAAAAAAATGACATTTTTTACATTTTGTCTCTAATCAAGCTGCTACTGGTTATACGGAAACAGACAATTTCCCTATTTTACCAGAGAAACAGTATTACATTTTACAGTAAAATAATGTTCTATCCTTGACATAACAAACCTGGAGGGTTATTAACTAATGTGATAATTCAAAGTAAATTCAGATTGAATTCAAATCTAAATGAACAATGGAACATATATTATTTTTTTATAACAATTTAGTAATTATACCCTATTTGAATTATGCATATTTTTTCCATTTGGGGTGTATCTAAAAACAGTTTTTAAAAGTTGCAGATCTCTTGCCTCCCCTTTAAACCACGCCCAGAATTTCTGCAGCTCAATGAGAAGTCTTTGCAAGGCAGGTCCTCTTGCGTTTATCTCCATTGAGCTAAACAAACCAGGAAGTAACAGGAACAGTTGTATGATTGACAGCCAGGTGGTGTAACCAGGTTCATTTATAAAATGTGAAATTCACTTTGAATTCTAACTTTAGTAATTAACCCTGTATAACACATGTAATATTTTTTGGCTAATTACCTTCGTATGCTTCCCTCAAGCCTCCACGCCAGTTGGACTGAGGAGCAAGGCTTTCTGTGTCCCGACTTCCAGGTCTCCATGGCTGGCTCCGCCGGCCATCATCTGATCCCTGCCCAGGAGTGTTGACTGGACGTCTGGGCCTGGAGATAGGAGACGATTGGCCTCTGCGTGGGTCATATACAACATCTGACCTTCTGTAGGGTGGCCTTAGATCATCTATGGCAGGATCAGGGTAAGAAAGGTCTGACTCGAAGTCAGGTGACTCAAAAGGTGGGAGGCTGTATGACGAATCTCGAGGATCGTAGCTTGATGATGATCTAGAGCCATATTCCAAACCACCCCCAGGTGCTGATGGGTAGGCATCATAACCAGGCCTCACTATCCTGGGAGGTGGGTTGGCATAAGCATCAGGGCCGTATGGAATCCCATATGGAGGGCCATATTCTGGTCCATATTCACTGTAAGGATCAGATGGTAACGAAGCGGGATTCCCAAATCCTGGACTTCTGAAGATACTACACAGAGATTCAAAATCATCTGAGGGGGAGAGATAGGAAAAACCAAATCAGACCGAGATGATATAAACGTGCTAGATCTCACATTGGCTAAATGTATTTACCAAGGATGAACAGTGGGGCTGAATATAGCTTTATATCTACAGAGGTTAATGTATAAAGCGATACTCAAAAGAAAGGAATGCACACCATCTGATACAATAGTATCTATCTATATATATTTATTACAATACAAATACAAGCCATACATGCAAAATGTAACAATATAACAGTGACCAAATAGGCTACACAACTCAACAATTATATTTACCAAATCCCACAAGCCTATATGGGCAGAAACACGAGTCACAAACAATCACCCAACGTTTCGGCTCCTCCTGGTAGCCTTTATCAAGGGTAGCTATATCATAACATCATCCAGGAACCCATTATATACACACATATACAAATTACTATATGTATATGTGTGTATATAATGTGTGTATATAATAGTAATTTGTATATGTGTGTATATAATGGGTTCCTGGATGATGTTATGATATAGCTACCCTTGATAAAGGCTACCAGGAGGAGCCGAAACGTTGGGGGATTGTTTGTGACTCGTGTTTCTGCCCATATAGGCTTGTGGGATTTGGTAAATATAATTGTTGAGTTGTGTAGCCTATTTGGTCACGGTTATATTGTTACATTTTGCATGTATGGCTTGTATTTGTATTGTAATAAATATATATAGATAGATACTATTGTATCAGATGGTGTGCATTCCTTTCTTTTGAGTATTTACTTTATTGGTATTGGAGGGAGTACCTTTTTGGAAGAGCACCCTTAAATGTGGTAGTGGTTATATTAAGTGTCTCTCCACACGTTACATTTTTCAATGTATAAAGCGATGCCCTGAAGGTAGGCTGAGCATCATGGGAGATGTAGTTTACAAACATCTGGAATGACAAGGTTAGCCATCACTGGTTTAAATAACCCCTGACCTGGTTCATCAGGCAGTGGCGGAACTCCTGCTAATGCAGCCGGCCCTCAAGCAAGGCGGCATATCAGGTGGCCCGTGCACTTAGAGTCACACAATGAATATTGCTAAACAGGGCTCGTTCGGGCGCCGCAGTCTTTTAATAGCGCAACTGGGCACCTGCCTGTCCGCAGCGTGGGAGGAAGTGAGTGCCTCTCACTTCCTCCCAGACACAGGTAGAGCGCCGCGCAGGACGGGGAGAAGAGGAAGAGGCACAGGCTGCAGTGAGGAAGAGAACAAGGAGAGAGAGCTGCTCCAGCCCCACACTCACATCATCCTCAGTCAGCAGAATAACCCCAAGCAAGCCAACATACCTGCACGTAAAAAATATGTTAACAGGAGGGTGGCTAAAAATAGAAAAATATATGCAATATCTGTGTGTTTGTACATGTCGCTGTCTGTATGTGTCAGTGTGTGTATCTGTGTGTCAGGGTGTGTGTTTGTGTCAGGGTGTGTATCTGTGTGTCAGGATGTGTGTATGTGTGTCAGGATGTGTGTATGTGTCAGTGTGTTTCAAGGTGTAAGTGTCAGTGTGTGTGTGTGTGTGTGTATCTGTGTGTCAGGGTGTGTGTATGTGTCAGTGTGTTTCAGGGTGTGTGTAAGTGTCAGTGTGTGTGTGTGTGTATCTGTGTGTCAGTGTGTGTATCTGTGTGTCAGGGTGTGTGTATGTGTCAGTGTGTGTATCTGTGTATCAGGGTATGTGTATGTGTCAGTGTGTTTCTGGGTGTATGTAAGTGTCAGTGTGTGTGTGTGTATCTGTGTGTCAGTGTGTGTATCTGTGTGTCAGGGTGTGTGCATGTGTCAGTGTGTTTCAGGGTGTGTGTAAGTGTCAGTGTGTGTGTGTGTGTGTATCTGTGTGTCAGGGTGTGTGTATGTGTCAGTGTGTGTATCTGAGTATCAGGGTATGTGTCAGTGTGTGTATCTGTGTATCAGGGTGTCTCTATGTGTCAGTGTGTGTGAATGTGTCAGTGTGTGTATCTGTGTGTGTGTATGTGTCAGTGTGTGTATCTGTATATCAGGGTGTGTGTATGTGTCAGTGTGTGTATCTGTGTATCAGGGTGTGTTAGTGTGTGTATCTGTGTGTCAGGGTGTGTGTATGTGTCAGTGTGTGTATCTGTGTGTGTGTGTATGTGTCAGTGTGTATATGTATGTTTATTAATGTGTATATATGTGTATATGTGCATACATTCCAGCAATCAAACACCAACACTACATGCAAACACACCCCTGCAATCAAATACAAACATTACAAACAAAGACACCCCTGCAATCAAGCACCAATATTATATACGAATACACCTTAATTTAAACACCAATACTACACACAAATGTGCACCCACATTTTAAAGCCAACATTACATGCAAACACACCCCTGCAATCAAACACAAAACACACCCCAGCAATCAAACACAAACACACCCCAGCAATCAAACACAAACACACCCCTTCAATCAAACACAAAACACACCCCAGCAACCAAACACAAACACACCCCGGCAATCAAACACAAAACACACCCCAGCAATCAAACACAAACACACCCCAGCAATCAAACACAAACACACCCCATCAATCGAACACAAAACACACCCCAGCAATCAAACACAAACACACCCCTGCAATCAAACACAAAACACACTCCTGCAATCAAACACAAAACACACCCCTGCAATCAAACACAAAACACACCCCATCAATCAAACACAAAACACACCCCAGCAATCAAACACAAACACACCCCATCAATCAAACACAAAACACACCCCAGCAATCAAACACAAACACACCCCTGCAATCAAACACAAAACACACTCTTGCAATCAAACACAAAACACACCCCTGCAATCAAACACAAAACACACCCCAGCAATCAAACACAAACACACCCCTGCAATCAAACACAAACACACCCCAGCAACCAAACACAAACACACCCCGGCAATCAAACACAAAACACACCCCAGCAATCAAACACAAACACACCCCTGCAATCAAACACAAAACACACCCCAGCAATCAAACACACCCCAGCAATCAAACACAAAACACACCCCAGCAATCAAACACAAACACACCCCTGCAATCAAACACAAACACACCCCAGCAATCAAACACAAAATACACCCCAGCAATCAAACACAAAACACACCCCTGCAATCAAACACAAAACACACCCCAGCAATCAAACACAAACACACCCCAGCAATCAAACACAAAACACACCCCGGCAATCAAACACAAACACACCCCAGGAATCAAACACAAAACACACCCCAGCAATCAAACACAAAACACACTCCTGCAATCAAACACAAAACACACCCCAGCAATCAAACACAAAACACACCCCTGCAATCAAACACAAAACACACCCCAGCAATCAAACACAAACACACCCCTGCAATCAAACACAAAACACACCCCTGCAATCAAACACAAAACACACCCCTGCAATCAAACACAAAACACACCCCAGCAATCAAACACACCCCAGCAATCAAACACAAAACACACCCCAGCAATCAAACACAAAACACACCCCAGCAATCAAACACAAAACACAGCCCTGCAATCAAACACAAAACACAGCCCAGCAATCAAACACAAACACACCCCAGCAATCAAACACAAACACACCCCTGCAATCAAACACAAAACACACCCCAGCAATCAAACACACCCCAGCAATCAAACACAAAACACACCCCAGCAATCAAACACAAACACACCCCTGCAATCAAACACAAACACACCCCAGCAATCAAACACAAAATACACCCCAGCAATCAAACACAAAACACACCCCTGCAATCAAACACAAACACAGCCCAGCAATCAAACACAAACACACCCCAGCAATCAAACACAAACACAAACACACCCCTGCAATCAAACACAAAACACACCCCAGCAATCAAACACAAACACGCCCCAGCAATCAAACACAAAACACACCCCAGCAATCAAACACAAACACACCCCAGCAATCAAACACAAATATTACATAGATACATAGCTGAAAAGAGACTTGCATCCATCAAGTTCAGCCTACCTCACATTTGTTTTTTGCTGTTGATCCAAAAGAAGGCAAAAAACCCAGTTTGAAGCACAATTTTTCAACAAGCTAGGAAAAAAATTCCTTCTTGACCCCAGAATGGCAGTCAGATTTATCCTTGGATCAAGCAGTTATTACCCTACATTGAAAGATTATATCCTTGAATATTCTGTTCTTGCAAGTATGCATCTAGTAGCCGTTTGAACATCTGTAAGGACTCTGATAAAACCACTTCTTCAGGCAGAGAATTCCACATCCTGATTGTTCTTACAGTAAAAAAACCTTTCCTTTGCCTTAGACGAAATCTTCTTTCTTCCAGTCTAAACGCATAGCCTCGTGTCCTATGTAAAGTCCGGTTTGTGAATAGATTTCCACACAATGGTTTGTATTGGCCCCGAATATATAATGTATAATGTTATCTCAGCCGACGTTTTTCTAAACTAAATAGGTTTAAATGTGTTACCCTTTCTTCATAGCTGATATGTTCCATTCCTTTTATTAATTTTGTAGCCCGCCTCTGCACTTTTTCTAGTGCCATAATATCCTTCTTTAGAACAGGTGCCCAAAAGTGCACAGCATATTCAATATGGGGTCTTACCAGCGATGTATAAAGAGGCAAAATTATATTCTCGTCCCGAGAATGAATGCCCTTTTTCATGCATGACAATACATAGTTACATAGTTACATAGCTGAAAAGAGACTTGCGTCCATCAAGTTCAGCCTACCTCACATTTGTTTTTTGCTGTTGATCCAAAAGAAGGCAAAAAAACCCAGTTTGAAGCACAATTTTGCAACAAGCTGGGAAAAAATTCGCTTACTTGACCCCAGAATGGCAGTCAGATTTATCCTTGGATCAAGCAGTTATTACCCTACATTGAAAGATTATATCCTTGAATATTCTGTTCTTTACAGAGTAGCCATCTAGTTGTTGTTGAACATCTCCGTATGGACTCTGATAAAACCACTTCCTCAGGCAAGAGAATTCCACATCCTGATTGTTCTTACAGTAAAAAACCTTTCCTTTGCCTTAGGCGAAATCTTCTTTCTTCAGTCTAAGCGCGCCCAGCCTGCGTGTCCTATGTAAAGTCCGGTTTGTGAATAGATTTCCACACAATGGTTTGTACTGGCCCTGAATATATTTGTATAATGTTATCATATCCCCTCTCAGGCGACGTTTTTCTAAACTAAATAGGTTTAAATTTGTTAACCTTTCTTCGTAGCCGATATGTTCCATTCCTTTTATTAATTTTGTAGCCCGCCTCTGCACTTTTTCTAGTGCCATAATATCCTTCTTTAGAACAGGTGCCCAGAATTGCACAGCATATTCAATATGGGGTCTTACCAGTGATGATTTATAAAGGCAAAGGTATATTCTTGTCGAGAATGAATGCCCTTTTCATGCATGACAATACCTTACTGGCCTTAGCCACTGCTGATTGACATTGCACATTGTTGCATAGTTTGTTGTCTATAACAATTCCCAAGTCCTTTTCGTAATGTTATTTATCCTAATTTAAACTTTTCATTAAGGGTACATGCGTTGCTTGTGTGTATTCTTTGCAGCGAAGTGTGCATAACTTTGCATTTTTCAACATTAAATTTCATCTGCCATTTGAGTGCCCAGTCCCCAGTCTATCTAAATCCCTCTGCAGCAAAGTAATATCTTGCTCACATTGTATTGTTTTACAAAGTTTGGTGTCATCTGCAAACACTGAAACATGACTTTCAATGCGGTCTTCAAGATCATTTATAAACATGTTAAATAGAAGGGGTCCCAGCACAGACCCCTGAGGGACACCACTTGCCACCTCTGTCCAGCTTGAAAATTTACCATTAATAACAACATGCAAACACATCCTTGCAATCAAAAACAAACACTACATACAAACACATCCCTGCAACCAAACACATCCCTGCAACCAAACACCAACACTACATCTAAACATATCCCTGTAATCAAACACAAACACTATATACAAAAACATCTGTGGCGAAGTGCCCTTCACCACTTGTGCCTGGAGGGGACTACTGGCTAGCCTCCTGCCTTCCGACTATGGCCCATGTGCTGATAGCTGTATTTCACCCTGCAGAAAGGTTTATTTGTGTATTTCTGCCGGGGCGTTCGGGACTTTCAGTATGTGAGTAGTGCTACCCCAGATAGCTATGCCATGGAGCCTATTCGTGTAACGAAAGACTATGGAAAACACTTTGGCTCCATGGCGATTGAACTGTATGTATGTGATCTGAGTGCCATTCAATAATAATGTGCACTCAGATCTAAGCTATCTGGGTATATGTATGCATGTATATGTTTTATGTAGTAATTGTAACATTGTGTAATTTTATGTCTTTTTGTAACCATGTGGTTGCCTCTGTCCTGGGAGATAATTTGATTACTTCCCAATTCTTTCCAGGATAGAGATGAGGGATTGTGATGTCACTGTGGGAGTATTTTGTTTGTATTGTCTGTGATTGGCTAATATCCAATATGTGTCCCATTGTTCCATCAGGTCCCCTGGGGGAGTGTCCACCTGGTGGACACATGCATAAATACCGGGCAGGTAGCCCTCAATAAACCAGACCTACTTGCACCTTTCTTGAAGCCTTGGCTCATGCTTGGGGGAAGGGATACCTACACTCTGGGGATTGCTATAATCACTTACTCCCCAGAGTAAGCTCTTGTAAGAGCTTGATTTGTTCCTGCTACGCTCTCTGGATTTAGGAGAGGTTCACCCACTGGGAGCTGGATCCTGGTCGTGGATCCAGGGTGGGCGAGACCCCGGCACACCTGCATTGCTGGAAGTGGGGTCCGCAGTACTGATGGTGTCGGTTGGAGTGCTCGGCAAGCACTAGGAGCATCGATTGGCGGAGGTACTCGGTCGGAGTGCCTGCGGTTCGTCACAACATCCCAGCATTCACACACCAACACTACATACAAACACATCCCAGCATTCACACACCAACACTACATACAAACACATCCCTGCATTCACACACCAACACTACATACAAACACATCCCTGCAACCAAACACCAACACTACATACAAACACATCCCTGCAATCAAATACCAACACTACATACAAACACATCCCTGCAATCAAACACAAACACTACATCCAAACACATCCAAACACCAACACTACATACAAACACATCCCTGCAACCAAACACCAACACTACATACAAACACATACAAACACCAACACTACATACAAACACACCCCTGCAACCAAACACCAACACTACATACAAACACATCCCTGCAATCAAACACCAACACTACATAAAAACACATCCCTGCAATCAAACACAAACACTAAATACAAACACACCCCTTCAATTAAACACATTCATAACATGCAAACACACCCCTTTATTAACCCCTTAAGACCGGAGGGCGTACTATTACGTCCTATTTTAGGCGGCTCTAAACGCCGCCGGGCGTAATAGTACGCCCTCCGTTTGTTTTTTACATACCCAGCCGCCGGTGATCCCACGCCGGCGATCACGGTTGGGGGGACTCTCAGGGAGCCCCCCGCGTCATGTTCGACCTCCTGGAAGCCCCCCGGCCATGTGAGAGTGTGGTCCTTGCGAGGACCTCACAATCACATGGCCGGGATAGATGGCTGCAGCATTGCCAGCAGGGGGACTGCCTGTAGTGACAGTTAGTCCCCCTGCTGGCTGAATTCAAATAAAATAAATGTTAATAAAGTGTAAAAAAAAAAAAAAAAATACATATATACTTAAATCATATATATATCATATATATATATGATCTAAGTATATATATATATATACACTTGTGTTCGGGGCAAATAGCCGTATATGGAGTAAGGTTCCAGCATAAGCGTAGGATAGAATAAAGGGAGCAAGTCGGTTGTGGTGTGCCGAGACCGACGATACGGTAGGCCTGTAAATAAAGAGGGCAAAAAGAATAATCAAAGATTTAATACAGTCAACAATATATACAAATTAACCAGACATTTCCTTAAATGCATTACGGTATTTAATTCCTTGAAGGATTTTTGAAGGTAGGAATCTAGGACCGCAACTGGACACCATTTGTTGTGGGTAGGATAGTATGTTATCTCTACTGTTGGTGCGTGTTGACTCGTTTCGGAATGTGGTAGAGCCAATAGGTAATGATATGTGTTTACATTCGTGGGATCGTTGAAGACAATGATCTGTCTGAGTGGTGGTTATGGGAGTGGATTCTCTGGCCTGAGAAAGGCATAAAAGGCAGTGTGCATGGCTGGTAATGGCCGACTTGGTAGTATAATTGAATGGTTGTAGCTCTAATAGGTCCGATAAGGATGGAAAAGTTATTATATATATATTAATATCAAATTACACGTAGACTGATACTGATTAAATATATATATAATTATTGTTATATATATATATATATATTTATATATAATATAAAAAAATATGTAAATACGTTAAAAAATAAAATTAAAAAAATAATTAAAAATAAATAATTAAAAAATATATAGATGTGTGTTATTTCGTTCTAACTGTATTGTGATATTAATATATATACATTTATATCAAAATACACGTAGAACGAAATAATATATATATCTATATACATAAATATATGTATATATCATTATATATATATATATATACCTATATATAAATAAAAATATTTAAAAAAAATTATATATATATATATATATATATACATATATATATATACACATACGTATATATATATACATATATTAATTCTACATATATATTTATGTAATATTTTTACATAATTAGGTAACTTAATTACAATTAGCGGGACCTGCCTGACAACCCATGCCGAAAGTAAAGGGAATTTAATTTGCTAGCACTATCTTTAACCCTATAACTTTCCAAGACACCATAAAACCTGTACATGGGGGGTACTGTTGTACTCGGGAGACTTCGCTGAACACAAATATTAGTGATTCAAAATGATAAATTGTATTACAACGATATCGCCAGTAAAAGTGACGTTTTTCGCATTTTTCACACACAAACAGCACTTACACGGACGATATTATTGCTGCGATACTTTTTACTGTTTTGAAATACAAATATTTGTGTTCAGCAAAGTCTCCCGAGAACAACCTTACCCCTCATGTACAGGTTTTATGGTGTTTTCAAAAGTTACAGCGTCAAATATAAGGCTTGTGTTTCATTTTTTTCACATTAAAATTTGCCAGATTGGTTACGGTGCCTTTGAGACCCTATGGTAGCCCAAGAATGAAAATTACCCCTATGATGGCATATCATTTGCAAAAGAAGACAACTCAAGGTATTGCAAATGGGGTACGTCCAGTCTTTTTTAGTAGCCACTTAGTCACAAAAACTGGCCAAAATTGGCGTTTTTTGCATTTTTCACACACAAACAAATACTAACGCTAACTTTGGCCATTGTTTGTGACCATATGGCTACTAAAAAAGACTGGACATACCCCATTTGCAATACATTGGGTTATCTACTATTGCAAATGGTATGCCATTATGGGTGTAAATTTCATTCCTGGGCTACTATACAGTCTCAAAGGCAACGTAACCAATCTGGCGAATTTCAATTTCAAATGTAACGCGCTATATTTGACCCTGTAACTTCCCAAAACGCCATAAAACCTGTACATAGGGGGTACTGTTTTACACGTGAGACTTTGTTGAATACAAATATGTGTATTTTATTGCAGTAAAAGCAAACAGTATTATGACATTGACAGTTAAAATGTCATGTAGAACTAAAAAAATCTTATTTTCTCCCATTTTTTTCATATTAAATTATGTTTCACAGCTAAATATTTGATATTAAATGAAAGCCCTGTTTCCCCTGAATAAAATGATATATAATAAGGGTGGGTGCATTTAATAAAAAAGAGGTGAATTACGGTTGGACAGACATGTAGCGCAAATGCCAGGTTTTGTTTACATTTTGTTTTGTTCACAACGTGTACATTTGGCTCCGTCCTTAAGGGGTTAAATTGCCAAAATTGTATACAAACAGCCCTTCATTCAAATATACAACCCTGCAAGGATGGGCAAATGGTAGATCCCCAACTTTGAAAGCATTGTGGGAGTTGTACGACAGATCGGGATCTACGGTTTGGCCACCCTTGTGTAAGAGGGGGCCCAAGAAAATTTCATTCACCAGGGCCTTCTCTACATTAGTTCCACCGCTGTGATCAGGTGTAACAAGAGACTAAGTCCCACACACGTCAAATCTCTAAATATTGCATGCTCCTATACCCTGAGAGAAGGAATCACCGATCCCAATACCTGAGCTAAACAGAGTGTTACACAAACAGAACAGCTGCTTGCATTTATTTGTTTGTTCAGAACCCCGGAGTGAGATGCTTGTTATCTGCTCCTACCCACATTTGTGGGGATGTGATCGAATTTCCATTGTAATTTACAATAAAGAGGTTCCTGGAAAGTGTTACTTATCTGTAGTTTGAGTGCCTAGCTAGCCGGCAATCTTTCAAAATTTGGGGATATTGGAGTGTCTGGAAAACCGCTAACGATTAATATTATCATTATGGTGAGCTAAACTGGGATTTACCAGCCACCGTGCACGTAAGCCCTGGGGTCTCTCTCCATGTTTAAGTAAGTTACAAATACAGTGAGTCATTACCTGAATCTCTTGCTGGGCAAAAAGCGCAGTCCATTCCCCAGGCGTCACCATACAGACAGCAGCACTCGGTGTATGTTGTCTGCCTGTCCAGTAGGGGGCGACTACAAATCAAATTCGCCCCAACCTCTTGCCAGCACAATGCGAGATTACTCTCTAAGAGTAAACAGATAAATAGATGGTATGTATTACTCAGGGACATATATACATATACGCTACATTCCATAGAACCCGTACCCAACCTGGACCATCCCTCACTTACCGATAGACTGGCTGGAGTTGGAGACACACCTCCGTTGTGATGCATCCAGCACCAGCGGGGGACTGCAGGTACAGTGATAGGAACCCACTGTGTTCACACACTGAGCCCCCTCGCAAGCCTCTTCTTTCTGGCATTCATCATTATCTGTGGATGGATCAGTTCTGCTTACTAAATTATACCATTTTTATAGGGTGAATAAATAAACAAAGGACAAAGAATTCCACATGTTAAGGAATTTATTCACTAAAGATTTGATCTGCAGATGGAAATTTAGCTGATAATGTTTTGATTCAGTTTTCAGTTTATAACTCTTTCATCAATTCTGCTATTATGGGTCCATAAAACTAAAAATAAAATAGAATTTAAAACACAAACAATCAGAAATTCACTTAATAAAAAAAGGAATTCCCGAACAGGGGTCCAGCGGGAGCTGACTAGCCAAGGAATTGCTGTGGAACGAATTTCAGAAAAAGAACAAAAACTAGCTGGCGGGCTGCATGAGCTGCTACAATATCTATTAACCAGGAGGGGGCAGTAATGCACCTCCTCATCTCTCACCACATCGGCAGCAGGTGAGCACCTACTAAATGAACCCCCTATTAACTAGGAAGGAGCTTCTTAGGTTGAGAAAAATGAGGGTGGGTGGAGTAATTTACATTTGAGGCAGCAAATGGCCCTGGCCATGGCAACGTGCCAGAAAACTACAGCGTCCCAACACAGAGAAAGCATACGTATTACCAGTCCCACAACGCACAAACTGGAAGCCATATCAAAATAGCTGAGCTGTTAACTGCTGCTGTGCTGGAGATTTTTGCCAAATCAGATATTTTTGTTTAACGCCTCTCACTGTAATATGTGAACTTAATAGGGGGTACCTGCGTCAGCCCCGCCCCTATGACTTACCAACGCACTGCATTCGGTGTAGATCATAATAGTAACCATTAGCGCAGTAGCAGGCAAACAACGGCACTTTATTAACACAGATTCCATCTTTGCAGACTTGGTTTCGGAAGACTTCACATTCGTCAATATCTGTCAGAGAAACACGTATCACTGCCATATGGACCAACACAATTACCATAAAACAGACCGAGAGGTTTTCACCAACGCCTCACTTTTCAAACAATGTTTAATGAAAGTTGTTCTAGGTCTGTTCAAGATGACAGCGGCCCTACTCATAAACAAAGCGTTAATTGCTACAGTGTGAACAGCTGGGAATTGAAAATACTTTTCAAAGAATTTGGGGATCCAAACAGAATTCACTTTTAACTCACTTTGTATTACTAAAAATTCACTGGTCTTCTGCAAGAATTTGGTGTAAGTGATTCGTCCAAATCCAATTCCTGGCAATCGTCAAACGAATCGATTCTGAATTGTTTACATGTGCTTTTTGATTTGTTTGTATACCCACTGTACAGCGCTGCAGAATATGTGGGCGATTTCTAAGTATTCATTTGAAGAAAGACTTGCTGGGGAATTTCCAGCAGTAAGTTAATGTTCTTGGAGAATACAGTGAGGGATTCAGAGATTCCATTTAACGCTCAATGAATCTGCTTTTTCAGTAATGACCGAACAGCTTACTCAATCATTTCTAAACGTGCTTCACCGTCACTGCTGGACTAACTAAACACACGGGAATATTCAGGTGTCACTTCTCATAACCCATATTAAAACTACACTCATTTATGAGCTACAAATATTATTAAACATATCATATTATTGTCTAGATTCCTTTTTTTTAATCGGGAATTAAGTTGCCCCAGGTGTCGATGTTTGTTATTTACAGGGTAATTGAAAGGTTCCACTAGGTACAAATAGTAGGCACAGTGCAATGTATTGGCAGATAACTACTTACCTTTATACCCCTGTCCTGTTGTAATATACCCCACACCCTCGGGGCACAGCTCCTGGTACTCCACTGAAAAAACATCAAGCGTATTAGCACCTATTCTCGCATTCTATAAGATTCATGAATAGAAGACTTTCATCTACCTGTAAAATCTAGAGTTCAGGTAGAGCTACGTCTATTTTTAGTAGTAGTTTATAAATGTTACAGTAAATCTCTGCCCCCCCACACTCACCTGAGTCGACCTCAGGACATCTCTGAAACTGGCAGTTCCGTCCCCATCCTTTGCCGACGCTGCAGCAGCATTCTGAATGGGTTACATTTCTTGCCAGGACATTTTGACAAACATTAGGGTCTTCAAGGTTGTAGTAGCATTCATTCTGGCCAGACAATGGTCCTGACGGTAAGATTCGGGGTGAGCTGGGACGTTGAGAAAACACTGAGAGGAAAGAAAGCGTCTCAGAACGTCTGAAGATTTAATGAGAATGCCTGTAGCGCGGTCTGATGGAAGACACAGGTCCCTTACCTGGGTCTCCAGTTCGTAAACATTTCCCGGACATGGGGTCGAATTCTTCATTGGTGTTAGGACAGATGCAGAAGAATGATCCATCTGTGTTCTGGCAAAGAGCTCTCCCACACACCCCTTGGAGGGTCAGACACTCATTGATATCTGTAACATAGAAGCATCATTAATTACTTCATATACCTGCGATAGGCAATCCAGTGCGGATACGTGGATTAAACTCTGCGGAACACAGACAGGTGCAGACAGAGTTAACAGAAAATAACAGACTACTAGGAGATATTAAACAAGAGATCCCACTTGTCTAAAAATTGCGCCATTTAACAAAAACATTGAAAATCACCTATAACTAAAGATTTAGCATCCGATATTACATTCCAGCACAGGTAATACATTTATTTGACAGAAAAGGGTGGGGCTTATAATAATGATTGACAGGGAGCTAATACAGAGTTTCTCAGTTTCAGGATAGAGGTAAATAGAACAGTGTGGATTTATATACTGTATATATCTTTATATTGTCAGACTTCACAAACATACGTGTTAAATATAGCTAATAAATAATCATAATATAAAACATATAAGTGATAAATATAGCTAATAAGTAATCATAATGTAAAAAAATATTGGTAAACAACTGTAATTGTCTGTGTGAGATAACAGTTAAAGCGCCAGAACCATACAGGAGAAGAGAACAGGCCTCAGATGTCAAAGACGCACAACCGCCTCATTTTATCACATGAACGGCTCATTAATCAGAACTGAAGGCCTTCCTGGTCTTGCTTTAGATCCTCTGAGTACCAGAGGAATAATCAGCAGCGAATCCACAGCTTATCCCCTTCTCCCGGGGACTTAAAGCCTTATCCATGCTGCATTAAAAGGGGCCAAACACGGACGTGACTAAGGACCACCCATGTCTTGTCCCCGCTGACACTTCTACTGGAGCTCAACTCACCTGTGCATTCTCCCGAGGCAGAGAGCTGATAACCAGTCAGACAATCAGTCACACACTTGAAGTGGCCCGGAGTGTTTTCACAATGTGATGCCCCACAGATCGAATTTCCATATTCCAAACATTCATCAATATCTGCAAAATAACGTGATAGGAATAAATCTAAATTATTTGCATTATTGGGAGACATAGTCTTTTACCCCAGAGTGTCACAGGTACCTGTCAACCCATACAGCATTGAGCACATCTATTGTTAGAAGGAAACGAAGCTTTAAAGGCTGTCTATTTATTGTTATTGGCTTGTTTTACATATCCCATGTATGTAGTGATCATGTTTAATGGGTAATTATTTGGGGACAATTTTGTGAAACAGATGTTAGAAAAGTTGACCGTAATTGATTTGAGTCTTTTTTACATTCCAGGTATTTATATTTTACCTGATATCAAATGGAATTCTGATATCGAATGGCTGCATTTTGCCCTTAAAGGTCTGAATGGTTTATTGCCATTTTGACTTATTTTCAATTTAGATGGCTTTGTGGTATCGATACCATAATATTCTACTACCAGGCACCTGCTGCCACATCTTTACTATTATTTAGTGATATTCCAGCACAGAACTAAAATTATTTTGTATATTTTTTGTAAAAGAGTGTCGGAAAAGTCTATAGACAAAAATCATTTCTTGTGAAGGGGGTTATTAAGAAATTCTATAGGGGCAACCCATTTTGATAACAGTGTTAACCAGCATGCTCAGAGAGTGCTCGCTTTCAGTGACGTACCAACGCAGTGCCCCTCGGTAGACGTTTCATAGCCCAAGTTACATGTACATCGGTAGGAGCCAATCACATTCTCACACTTTGCATTATCGCCACAAATAGTTGCATTGGAGCACTCGTTAATATCTGTAACCAGAATAAACCACACAGACTTTCATTAACTATAATATGAACTTTTAACACACAGGACACACTTATAAGCATGTAATATTGCCCTGAATATGCAAGGGGAAGATGGAGGACCAACAGAGTGATATACCATCCTCGCACTCAAAGATACAAGATGGAGGACACACAGAGTGATATACCATCCTCGCCCTTAAAGATACAAGATGGAGGACACACAGAGTGATATACCATTCTCACACTCAAAGATACAAGACGGAGAACCAACAGAGTGATATACCATCCTCGCACTCAAAGATACAAGATGGAGTGCACACAGAGTCATATACCATTCTCACACTCAAAGATACAAGACGGAGAACCAACAGAGTGATATACCATCCTCGCACTCAAAGATACAAGATGGAGTGCACACAGAGTGATATGCCATTCTCACACTCAAAGATACAAGACGGAGAAAAAAAAAAGAGTGATATACCATCCTCGCACTCAAAGATACAAGATGGAGTGCACACAGAGTGATATACCATTCTCACACTCAAAGATACAAGACGGAGAACCAACAGAGTGATATACCATCCTCGCACTCAAAGATACAAGATGGAGTGCACACAGAGTGATATGCCATTCTCACACTCAAAGAAACAAGACGGAGAACCAACAGAGTGATATACCATCCTCGCACTCAAAGATACAAGATGGAGTGCACACAGAGTGATATAGCATTCTCACACTCAAAGATACAAGACGGAGGACACACAGAGTGATATAGCATTCTCACACTCAAAGAGACAAGATGGAGGACACACAGAGTGACGTACTGCAATTCCACACTCACACATACAAGATGGAGGACCAACAGAGTGATATACCATTCTCACACTCAAAGATACAAGATGGAGGACACACAGAGATGTACTGCAATCCCACACTCCCAGATACAAGATGGAGAAGACACAGAGTGATGTACTATTGTCACACTCTTACTGATACAAGATGGAGGACACACAGAGTGACGTACTATTGTCACACTCTTACTGATACAAGATGGAGGAGACACAGAGTGACGTACTATTGTCACACTCTTACTGATACAAGATGGAGGACACACAGAGTGACGAACTATTGTCACACTCTTACCGATACAAGATGGAGGAGACACAGAGTGACGAACTATTGTCACACTCTTACCGATACAAGATGGAGGACACACAGAGTGACGTACTATTGTCACACTCTTACTGATACAAGATGGAGGACACACAGAGTGACGTACTATTGTCACACTCTTACTGATACAAGATGGAGGACACACAGAGTGACGTACTATTGTCACACTTACTGATACAAGATGGAGGACACACAGAGTGACGAACTATTGTCACACTCTTACCAATACAAGATGGAGGAGACACAGAGTGACGAACTATTGTCACACTCTTACCGATACAAGATGGAGGACACACAGAGTGACGTACTATTGTCACACTCTTACCGATACAAGATGGAGGAGACACAGAGTGACGTACTATTGTCACACTCTTACTGATACAAGATGGAAGAGACACAGAGTGACGTACTATTGTCACACTCTTACTGATACAAGATGGAGGAGACACAGAGTGACGAACTATTGTCACACTCTTACTGATACAAGATGGAGGACTTAAATGCAAAACTGCTTTGCATTCACAGAAATAAGAGAGTGGATGATTTGGTTTTTATTTGGTCCAGAAAAAAAAAAGATTGTAGTACATCTCTATCTATTGAAATCCAAGATGTACATTTTTGAATATCAAGGCTGAAACTTCATATAAAGAGAATAACGCAGTTCTGCCGAGGGGAGACATGTTACCTGCGCAGTCATTTGACGCAGTACGTCTGTATCCATTATCACACTCAGAGATGCATCGGTAGGATCCCAGCGTATTCTCACATTTTTGAGTGCCGCAGATAGATGCTTCTCTCTCTTGACATTCGTCAATATCTGGGAAGAAATCAAGTAGTGAATCTGGTCTATTAAAGCCCTCTCTGCCATGTCACGTGTGGGCTGAATCGGAATTAACAAGTCAAAGCAATTTAAAGACTATCTAGAAACCTGTCCAGAGCTCCAGGCAGTCACACTGGGCCCTTTGCCCACTCTCAGTGATGTGGGTCCACATTTTGCATGCTGTGCCCTAGTCTTCCTGATTGGCTGTGTGAGGCTGTGCCCAGATTCCTGCATGTATCTCACCTGCACAGGTTGCCTTGTTGGCAGTGGCTCTGAATCCTCTGGGACAAACACATTGGAAGGAGCCCTGGGTGTTGCTGCATCGTCCTCCCTGGCAAAGCGTTCCAAGCTGACACTCATCTTGATCTAATTTGGGGAATTAAAAATAATTACTTCACGTCTAAATCACGGGTAGGCAGCCTTTTTGTAGTACTGTGCCAAAACAGGATCTTGAAGTCCCTTGGTGTGCCGGCCCAATTTTTTAAAGGAACACTATAGTCACCTAAATTACTTTAGCTAAATAAAGCAGTTTTAGTGTATAGATCATTTCCCTGCAATATCACTGCTCAATTCACTGTCATTTAGGAGTTAAATCACTTTGTTTCTGTTTATGCAGCCCTAGCCACACCTCCCCTGGCTATGATTGACAGAGCCTGCATGAAAAAATAAACTGGTTTCACTTTCAAACAGATGTAATTTACCTTAAATAATTGTATCTCAATCTCTAAATTGAACTTTAATCACATACAGGAGGCTCTTGCAGGGTCTAGCAAGCTATTAACATAGCAGGGGATAAGAAAATCTTAATTAAATAGAACTTGCAATAAAAAAAGCCTAAATAGGGCTCTCTTTACAGGAAGTGTTTATGGAAGGCTGTGCAAGTCACATGCAGGGAGGTGTGACTAGGGTTCATAAACAAAAGGGATTTAACTCCTAAATTGCAGAGGATTGAGCAGTGAGGCTGCAGGGGCATGTTCTATACACCAAAACTGCTTCATTAAGCTAAAGTTGTTCAGGTGACTATAGTGTCCCTTTAAACTTAAGATGTGTGTTACCGTATTCTGCTTGTGTTATTTATTGGCGCTGCATTTGCTTTGTACCATAGTATTTGTGTGTATGGGGGCTGTTATATTGCATATATTCATAAGTAGTTTGTGATATTGTATATGATACCTAGAAATGTGGGCTGTGTATATGGGGGCTGCTTGTGGAATTGTGTGTGTGTGTGTGGATGATATATGTGTTTGGTGGTGTGTATATGTGTCTGTAGTGTGTATATTTGTTTGGTGGTGTGTATATGTGAGGATGATATATGTTTTTGGTAGTGTGTATATGTGTGGGGCTGCTTGGAGTATTGCATGTGAGGTGCTGCTTGTGAGGTTATGTGTGTGTATGTGGATTGTCATTGGTGTTGTGGTGACTCTGTGTGTGTGTGTGTGGGCTATTTATATTATTTGTATAAAAGGAAGGCTTTCTTTGCAGCTCTGTGTATATTTAGCAGTGTGGGTGGCTTCTCTGAGATACAGTGGGCAACGGGTTCGCCAGCTGCAGGTCAAAATCTGTGATACCTGCTGCGGACTGCTCTACTCCAGTGCAGGTTCCCGTTCATAAGTGTTGGGATGGAGTGATCTAAGATCACTTCCTCTAAGCGCTGCAATGGGTAAATTAATGATTGCCCCTCACCACCTGCAATCACCACTAGTAGAGAGGCCCATACCTGTTTGGCTTTCGCAACCTTGAGTGCTGTAGTTTGCCTACCCCTGGTCTAGATCTTTATCATTCCTTCCTGCCAGTTACAATCCCTAAACTGGGGATTCCCAGTACGGACCTTGCCACAACTACACATTATGGCACGCAGCTACAAATCATGACACACAGCTACACACAATGATACACAGCTACACACCATGACACACAGCTACACACCATGATACACAACTAAACACAATGATACACAGCTACACACAATGACACACAGCTACACACAATGACACACAGCTACACATTGTAACACACAGCTACACACCGTAACACACAGCTATACACCTTGAAAAACAACTATACAGCAACACATCGTGACACACAGCTACACACCATGACACACAACTACACACTGTGACACGCAGCTACACACCGTGACACACAACTACACACTGTGACACGCAGCTACACACCGTGACACACAACTATACACCGTGACACACAACAACACATAGTAAAATACCGATACACATCATGATACACAGCTACACACCGTGACACACTAATGGCACGAAGCTACACGTCATGACTTGACTCGTATTTACACAGAGGCAGAAATATTTAGCTAAGCTATTGCTGGTCACACTATATATGAAATAGGCTTCTTTTACTCTAACAATAATATACCCTCCAGAAAGCATTACATAGTTTTCAAATTAAATTATAATTAACCTGAATTTAGAGACTGGTGCTTAAAAGAGACATCTGTAAGAGATTTATTAGGAAATGGTAGCAGATGTTTTGGGAAGGCAAGAGGTAAAAACACAATCCTGCTCCTATTACCAAAACTAAATGTATTCATTTATTCCACTAAATGTAATTGTGTTCATTTCTGACTCAGTGTGGAGTTAGGTAGCCGCAGTGTCCTGTTCTAATCGTTTCTTTGATTGGCTAATGTTCTTTCAGTAGTCGTTACAGTATCATAGAAATTTCTAGAACAACAGAAGAATGCAACTTCACAACGACCATCACAACTTAATGCTGAGCTTGTAAAATCTCCTGAAGGGCTGTGATGTCCAGCGCCACCCTTTAACCATTGCAGCTCTGTCTCCTTCACATCCTGCCATGTTATTCCTCATTCTCTCTCTCTCCCCATCTCCATTTGTCTCTTTCCCTATTAGTCACTGTGAACATACCAATGCAGGAAGTACCACCAGGAGACAGCACGTAACCCTCGGCACACACACACGTGTAAGAACCTTCCGTGTTCTGGCACTCCCCGTGTGGGAAGCAATATTCACCTTCCAGACACTCATTAATATCTAAAGGGAAACAACGTTTTAAATTGTAAGATTTAACGGACCAGAAATAAGCAACCTTCATGTTCAAATCTCGTCATTCTTATTTTATAGAAATATACACAACTTAAACAGGTCCCAAGAGGCTAACTCTGCGAACAGCTAGACCCATGATTACCTCTTGTTCTCTGTGTACCCCCATCCAGTTTATAAAGATCTTTCAATTCAACCTGCACAATCTATGAATGATGCAATGCAGAGACCTTGTTTAGACTGGAGACCATTCTTTAAAGCTCACAGAATCGGTGGTAGCCCATAGAGGATACGGACTGACGAGTGATCGGGGACTCCTGGGCAATACGGAGCATTCAGTGCTCATTAATATCCAATACTTATTGTTATCTCTAAACGTTTGTCTTGTTAGCGGTTTTATCCCTTTTGTGAAACCGTAATGCGCTGCAGAACATGTTGGTGCCTCGTATCAATGATGTTTATATAGTGTGTATTGTTAATACACATAGCAATTATCTTCTATATGGATACATTCACTTTACGTCTTCCCTTCCTGTAATCACACCACACTTTCCTAAGTTGCTTTCTTGTAATTTGTAATTAAATAGATGTTTTGTTTGCCATTGTGGAGTGCTGTGAAATATGTTGTTGCTTTATAAATACTGATAATAATAATAACTGCTTCTTCTGACCTGTACAATTAGTCCTGCGACTATCAAGTTGAAATCCGGGAAAACATTCGCAAATAAAGGAGCCCGCAGTGTTGATACATTTTCCGATGGGTCCACAGACGGACTGAATGCACTCGTCTTGATCTAGAAAGAAATACAAAGAGTGGGAGACTGGCGTGGGGACAGAATCTCTGCTACAAACAGATTCCGAACATCCAATGAGCCCTGAATTTCAGAAAGTTGGTACCCACCAACGCAGCGCCGGTTCTGAAGTTTGTACCCAGGAAGGCAGTGGCGGCATTCGAAGGACCCCAGAGTGTTAACACATTCCTGCCCAATACAGACGGCTGGATTCTCACATTCATTGATATCTGTTAACATAAAGGAAACAGACATTGGGTATTAGATATGGAACCGGACATACTATAAATTTTAATGACAGTGACATGTTTAATGGTCAGTCCCTCCCAGGGTCACAGTGTACTAATGGCAGTGACATGTTTAATGGTCAGTCCCTCCCAAGGTCACAGTATACTAATGACAGTGACATGTTTAATGGTCAGTTCCTCCCAGGGTCACAGTGTACTAATGACAGTGACATGTTTAATGGTCGGTCCTTCCCAGGGTCACAGTGTACTAATGACAGTGACATGTTTAATGGTCGGTCCCTCCCAGGGTCACGGTGTACTAATGACAGTGACATGTTTAATGGTCAGTCCCTCCCAGGGTCACAGTGTACTAATGACAGTGACATGGTTAATGGTCAGCCCCTCCCAGGGTCACAGTGTACTAATGACAGTGACATGTTTAATGGTCAGTTCCTCCCAGGGTCACAGTGTACTAATGACAGTGACATGTTTAATGGTCTGTCCCTCCCAGGGTCACAGTGTACTAATGACAGTGACATGTTTAATGGTCTGTCCCTCCCAGGGTCACAGCGTACTAATGACAGTGACATGTTTAATGGTCAGTCCCTCCCAGGGTCACAGGGTACTAATGACAGTGACATGTTTAATGGTCAGTCCCTCCCAGGGTCACAGGGTACTAATGACAGTGACATGTTTAATGATCAGTCCCTCCCAGGGTCACAGGGTACTAATGACAGTGACATGTTTAATGATCGGTCCCTCCCAGAGTCACAGTGTACTAATGACAGTGACATGTTTAATGGTCGGTCCCTCCCAGGGTCACAGTGTACTAATGACAGTGACATGTTTAATGGTCAGTCCCTCCCAGGGTCACAGTGTACTAATGACAGTGACATGTTTAATGGTCAGTCCCTCCCAGGGTCACAGTGTACTAATGACAGTGACATGTTTAATGGTCAGTCCCTCCCAGGGTCACAGCGTACTAATGACAGTGACATGTTTAATGGTCAGTCCCTCCCAGGGTCACAGTGTACTAATGACAGTGACATGTTTAATGGTCAGTCCCTCCCAGGGTCACAGTGTACTAATGACAGTGACATGTTTAATGGTCGGTCCCTCCCAGGGTCACAGTGTACTAATGACAGTGACATGTTTAATGGTCAGTCCCTTCCAGGGTCACAGTGTACTAATGACAGTGACATGTTTAATGGTCAGTCCCTCCCAGGGTCACGGTGTACTAATGACAGTGACATGTTTAATGGTCAGTCCCTCCCAGGGTCCCAGTGTACTAATGACAGTAACGTGTTTCTTTCCTTAGCCTGTCCTTACCAATGCAGTCACTGCCTTGCGGTGTCATTCGGTAACCCAATGAGCAGGAGCAGCGGTAACTTCCGGGAGTGTTCTGGCATCTACCAGAACCGCACAGACGAGGCGTCTGGCGACATTCATCTATGTCTGTGTTGGGGAAGACACATATTTGGCATAAAACAAATGCATTTATATGAAAACCTTTTTTTTCTGAAGATGATGGGAATCACAGTTTATGACATATTCCATGGAGGTCTAATGATAACCATAAACCTCCATTTGAATCAGTAGAACCAGTTATGAGCTATTAGCATGATTCTAGTCAATCTCCTATAGAATGTAAGCTCGTTTGAGCAGGGTCCTCTTCAACCTATCGTTCCTGTGAGTTTTCTTGTAATTGTCCTATTTATAGCTAAATCCCCCACCCCCACCTTATAATATTGTAAAGCTACGGAATCTGGTGGCTCTATATAAATGGCAATAATAATAATAACACTGAAATTATATCATACACCAGTAAAATTACTGGAATGTAAAGTCCACGTGTAGAACGTAATTACACTATTGCAGCAGGACGCCCACAATCCCTAAATATAGCATTGAGAACAAGAAGTCCTTTAAAGCGGCACTGTCATGCCCAAGTAACCTTTCCCCAATCGCTTCCTTTTTCTCTCTCAGAATCTGTTCTTCTTTTCTTCCTATCTGATCTAGTTTTCTTTAAAAGGAGGAGCCTAATTCAGCTCCATTTCCAGTGGTCAAAGAAAATGTTCCCTCCTTCGTGTTGCTTCATTCACCTTTTGAACGTCCTGTCATGTAGACTGGGGGCTGGAGAATTCACCATATTTAGTCCTAACAGAATGTGTACAATTTGACCATTCGTGTTGAGACGAAATTCTGTAATTTTTTTCTATTTGGAATTTAATCCAAAATAATGCAATTCCAATCCGATTCTTGCTGCGGCTGCATCTTGCAGCTGCTTAGTAGATAGTTGCCTAATTCCCATAGTATTAGGGAGCTATCTACTAAAAAGCGTAAAGACCAAAATTGATCTTTCAGCCAACTTTACTAATACTAAGTAAAAATGTGCAGCGGGTGGGTGACTTAAGTGACCAAAGGAGGATGACACCTATTGTCTCCCCTCATCCGGCTCCCCACCCACGATCGACTGTTGGGGGTTCCAAGAGACAAAAGGGGGAAACACCTATTGTCTCCCCCTGGCTCCCACCTATGAGTGGCAGGTGGGGGTCCTAAGTCACAAAAGGGGGGGCACTATTGTCTACCGCACTGACCAAAACCCATGAGCGGTGCGTGGGGGCCCTAAGTGACAAAAAGGGGCAGACCTATTGTCTCCCCTCCGGCTCCACCCATGAGCGGCGAATAGGGGCCCTAAGTAACACCCTTCTAGTGTTATTGTGAAGGAGTGAAGTGAGCATTAACTCACCTTGGCAATCTGTGCCCTGAGTATTTACAGCAAATCCTGCTGGACAGACACATAGAAAGCTTCCAGGAGTATTTTCACAGCGGCCATTCTGGCACAAACGTCTTGTGGTTAGACGGCATTCATCAATGTCTAATAAAGATGAGATATAACAAGCACAACACACAGTAAGTCCACGAGTGTGATCTAGATATAAAATTCCATATGGTTCAACCACTGGCCAACTGGAGTCTGGAGGATGGCAAAACGCCCCGGGTATGCCAGGTGCAGGACTATTTAAATTTCATATACCGCCTTACAAAAACGACAAGGTCCTTGACACATGAACATATATCTGTAATTACATTTGTGTATCCATTCACCTGTCCATTCATCCATCCATCAATTCATTCGCCTGTACATTCATCGATCCATCAATCCATTAGCCTGTCCATTTATCGATCCATCCATTCATCCATCCATCAATCCATTCATTCACCTGTCCATTCATCCATCCATCAATCCATTCACCTGTCCATTCATCCATCCATCAATCCATTCATAGATCCATCCATTCATTCATTGTAACAGGATTACAATTTCTGCCTGGACTCCTTTAACAATACATAACCTGGATATACAAAAGAACCAACTTGCCTGTTTTATGCGAACCACTATTGCCCCAAACGAATCCAAACTACCGAACACCGGACCACCCTGAAGTAAAGTTAAGTGATATTTTAACTCCCAGACTGACACAGCCGTTCGCATGGTTCAGCACGAATCCTTTGTGTAAAGTATAGGTGGCCGCCATTTCGAGACTTTGCACGTGTTTGCGGTCATCTTACGCACGAACAGCGGTGTTTTGCCATCAATCGTGTGGAACTAAAAACGGATATGCAAACAGGCGAACACCGCTGAGACCTCCGTGACAACGTAGATTCGTGCTGAAACTACCGAACAGCTGGCCGTTCGGTAGAAAGATTAAACCATGCATGGGGATTCCGGCGAACGTCAAGATAGCTGTGGATGGCAAGATTTTCGTGTGTTTTCAATGCACGAACGGGGACCGACCGCAAGGCCAAAACTTGTGGAACTATTTTCGGCTAGAAAGTCTGTGCGGTCGGTCAAGACCCATAACTCCCGAACGCTTTAACCAAATGAGCTGGATTTTTGATAAGTTGTTCCCCTGAACAAGAGCTATCTGGGGATACTGGATTTAAGGGTGTACCCCCTGGTTTTGGGGTACATCCAGAACTTGGGTAAAATTGTGTGTGTTATAATTATGTTAAATGTTTATCTGAGGGGAGGAGACGTGGGGGTTGTACCATGTGTGTGATTGGGTATTGTGTTAATTATGAAGGTGTAGCCCTTTCCAGGGCAGCATTGCATAAAAGGAGACCCCTGTCAATAAACATCAGTTCTGCTTGACCCTTCAAAACGTAGTCTTGTCTCGTTCTTGGAAGGGGATTTATTGTACAGTTACTCTGCTCCATTTTACAGTATGCCTGACTCTACCCTTGGATCTCGTGGATGGAAATAAGAACTCCATTACTACACAGCAGCTTGCCATTAAAAGGACGTCTCCAACGGCAGATACCCCCTTACTACCTGGGTAGCCATTACATTCATCAATCCATTCACCTGTCCATTCATCGATCCATCAACCCATTCACCTGTCCATTCATAGATCCATCCATACATTCATCGATCCATCAATCCATTCATAGATCCATCCACCTGTCCATTCATCCATCCATTAACCTATCTGTGGCGGGACCACTGCCTGTTCGTGAATTGCTATGAGATATTCCCTGTGTTTCCCCTGTATTGTGTTGTATTTGTGTGTTTTACCTTCTCCCCATTCGGGAGAGCTCAATGCGAATGGGCTCTGTTCGCTTCCCGGACGGGGACCACCACGAAACCTCATTTAGAATGTTGTCTTAGAACGTTCACACAATGCAAGGTGTCGAAAGCACAAACCGCAAGGGAAGCCTAGGCGCGAGCATTCGTGGATTGCTTCTCACCCGGTTCTCAAACGGGGACCTCCCGAGTGCCCCTTGGAGTGTTCACACCAATCATTTAGAACGTTGGCAACTTGCAACATAAGTGTGAAATCGCAAGGGAAGCATTCGTGCCCCAAAAGGAGGCACTTCTCTTGCCTGGCTTTGTTGTAGAATTATAGAATTATAGAAATTATCTAAGCTAATGCTTTGGCAGGAAGAAATGTGCTGAATAATAAAATGTGTATTTACTAAAAGAACCTTGAAACTAACAATACTAACTATTCAAAATGGCTGCCAAAGCACCCCTCCCATCGAGTGAACACCTCGTGCTAACAAGATGGCGCCTACATCTTGTGTCCACTCCCGTGTCAAGGATGACATCACCTCTGGATGGGAGGGCATCTAACTAACCACTTAACACCTGGACCAATCAATAGTGTCTATTTGCTGTTATCTTTAATTCTTCAGTGATGTAAAAATGCCTTTATAAGGGTCTGCGCACCCATTTTCTGTTAGAAGCCATTAAACTTCTCCGAAGTTCTTTCATTAACCTGAACTCTGTGATTCAGTGTGAATTTACTTCTGCGTGCACGCAACTTTATTATCTTTAATTTGGACAGGAACAGATAGTCATTCAAACTAATTGGTTTGCAGAAAATAATCTACTACAGCTTCACCCAGGTACCCCACGAGCGGAGGCTGTTAACGTTCTGGGGGTCCCTGAGATTGGCGGGGACAATGGCGGTTTGGCGGACTTTCTGTGACTGGGAGTCACAGAGGCGGGAAGCATTCCCACACTGGGACTCCCAGGTACAGAGGTTCATGGGATAAAGACCCCCTGGTCACCGGAGGTGGGAAACCCTGAGGATGGGTGGCGGGTACAGGGGACAAAAGGACTGGAGTTCTGGTTCCGTCAGGAGACCCCTGGGAGGGCAAGGACCCTGGGAGGGGATACCGAGTGGCGGGAACAGGGGACAAAGGGATTGGGGTCCCGGTTCCGTTATGCGACCCCTGGGAGGGGAAGAACCCTCGGAGGGGACATTTCGTTATATGTGATCCACCCCTTGCATGGTGAAAGTATAAAGTTGAGTGTGGCCAAAAAAGTTGTTGTTGTACCTCCCAGGACTGTGTGTCGTTCCGGTTACTGGGTGGGTCTCTCCGTACTATAACTGATTCCCTTCCAGGGACAAGACGTGGCTGAACAAGGACAACTGGGCGAGTTGTCAGCAGGCCCGCTACACTGTCCATTCAGCCATACCTCCATTCACCTGTCCATTCATCCATCCATTCACCTGTCCATTTATAGATCCATCGATCCAATCACCTGTCCATTCATTCACCTGTTCATTCATTCATGCATCCATACATCCATTCACCTGTCCTTTTATTGATCCATCAATCCATTCACCTGTCCATTCATCCATCCATCCAGTCTCCTTTCCATTCATAGATCCATCCATTCACCTGTCCAGTCATTAATCCATTAAATCCATTAATCAATCCATCCATCCATTCACCTATCCATTCATGGACCCATCCATTCACTCATTGATTCATTCACCTGCCCATTCATGGATCCATCCATTCACCTGTCCATCCATGGATCCATCCATTCATTCACCTGTCCATTCTCCATCGATCCATCCATTCATCGATCCGTCCATTCATCTGTCCATGGATCCATCCATCCATTCACCTGTCCATTCATCCATCCATCACTTCACCTGTCCATTTATCCATCCATCCATTCACCTGTCCATTCATAGATCCATCCATCAATCCATTCACCTGTCCATTCATCAATCCATCCATCCATCTACTTGTTCATTTATTCATCCATTCACCTGTCCATTCATTCATACCTCCATTCACCTGTCCATTCATCCATCCATTTACCTTTCCATTCATCCATCCATTCACCTGTCCATTCATAGATCCATCCATCCATATACTTGTTCATTTATTCATCCATTCACCTGTCCATTCATTCATACCTCCATTCACCTGTCCATTCATCCATCCATTCACCTGTCCATTCATCAATCCATCCATCCATCTACTTGTTCATTTATTCATCCATTCACCTGTCCATTCATCCATACCTCCATTCACCTGTCCATTCATCCATCCATCCATCCACCTACGAATTCATCCATTCATCCATCCATCCATCCATTCATCTGTACAATTCATCGATCCGTCCATCCACCTGTCCATTCATCCATCAATTCACCTGTCCATTCATCCATCAATTCACGTGTCCATTTTTTGATCCATCAATCCATTCATCCATTCACCTGTCCATTCAAAGACCTATACATTCACCTGTCCATTCAAAGATCCATCCATTCACATGTCCATTCAAAGATCCATTCACCTGTCCATTCATCCATCCATTCACCTGTCCATTCATCCATCCATCAATCCATTCACCTGTCCATTTATCGATCCATTAATCCATTCACCTGTCCATTTATCGATCCATCAATCCATTCACCTGTCCATTTATCGATCCATCAATCCATTCACCTGTCCATTTATCGATCCATCCATTCATCTATCCATCCATTCACCTGTACATTCATTGATCCATCCACCTGTCCATTCATTGATCCATATATCCACCTGTCCATTCATTGATCCATCCATCCACCTGTCCATTCATCGATCCATCCATTCATTCACCTGTCCATTCATCGATCCATCCATCCATTCACCTGTCCATCCATTCACCTGTCCATTTGTCCACCTACGAATTCATCCATTCATCGATCCATCCATTCATCTGTACATTCATCGATCCGTCCATCCACCTGTCCATTCATCCATCAATTCACCTGTCCATTCATCCATCAATTCACCTGCCCATTCATCCATCCATCCATTCACCTGCCCATTCATCCATCCATCCATTCACCTGTCCATTCATCCATCCACCTGTCCATTCATCCATCCATTCATTTACTTGTCCATACATCGATCCATCCATTCACCTGTCCCTTCATCGATCCATCCATTCGCCTGTCCATTCTTAGATCCATCCATCTGCCTGTCCATTCTTAGATCCATCCATCCATTTACCTGTCCATTCATTCCATTTACCTGTCCATCCATCCATTTACCTATTCTTTCATCGATCCATCCATTCACCTGTCCATTCTTAAATCCATCTACCTGTCCATTCATTGATCCATCCATCTGTCTATTCATCGATCCATCAATCCATTTATAGATCCATCCATTCACCTGTCCATTCATCGATCCATCCATTTACCTGTCCATTCATCGATCCATCCATTCACCTGTCCATACATGGATCCATCCATTCACCTGTCCATTCATCGATTCATCCATTCACCTGTCCATTCATCGATTCATCCATTCACCTGTCCATTCTTAGATCCATCCATCCATTTACCTGTCCTTTCATCGATCCATCCACCTGTCCATTCATTGATCCATTTACCTATCTATTCATCGATCTATCAATCTATTCATAGATCCATCCATCCATCCATTTACCTGTCCATTCATCGATCCATCCATCCATTCATTCATCTGTTCATTCATAGATACATCCATTAACCTGTCCATTTTTAGATTCCATCCATTTACCTGTCCATTCATTGATCCATCCACCTCTCCATTCATCGATCCATTCATTCACCGATCCTTCCAACCATTTATGCATGCATCCATCCATCCACCCAACAGATATTGTCACTAGTAGTTTCAAGTAGCAGGGAGTCATACGTTACCAATGCAGTTGGTTCCCTGTGGGCTGAGGGTGAATCCGGATAAGCACAGGCAGCGGTAGCTGCCGGGAGTATTCTGGCACTGACCACTGGAGCAGAGTTGTTGTTCGGAGCTACATTCATCAATGTCTGCAACACAAAGTATTCAAAGAAAAGGAATACCTGGAGCCACATAAAAATTATGAACCCATCATTCCAGAACGCTGCTATATTACACAGGGTATATCCAATGAATCTTCTCCATTCAATACTGGTATAAAGTCTTTAAGAATAAGATTGTGATGACAAGTGTTATACTTGGTCCTTAAGGGGTCCTCACAACTCTGCTTTATAGCTATAGGTAGATTTCTTGGCACAGTATAGATGGTCTCTCAGAGGCAGTCAATGTATTAAATTCTGCCGGTGAATCTAGTTAGTGTGGGAATGAGGGGGAAGAAGTCTTACCTGTGCACTCCGTGCCTTGTGGATTGGTGCGGAATCCGGTGGAACAGGCACAGCGGTAGCTGCCAATGGTGTTCTCACATCGCCCATTGGCACAGGGACTTTGCCTCTGACGACATTCATCCACATCTATGGAGAAAAGCAGGTATTTATAGCCTTTTTTTTTTTTTTTTTTTTAAATGCACATTTTAAAGGAACAATGAGATGGTATGTGTTCATTACCAACCTGGCCCACAAAGGGTAACTCATGTGCAGATTGTTTTTCTAGATCTCTATGAAGCTAATTATCCATCCATCAATCCATTTCTCCTTGATAGTTCTGTGTTATGTTAAATACATTTCAGGCAAGGCATAGAGCCCCCAAGGGGTAATAATGGGTAAGGCAGTGGCTGAGTAACAGGCAACAGAGGGTTGTAGTTAATGGAATATATTCGAAGCTTGGACTTGTCACCAGTGGGGTACCTCAGGGATCTGTACTTGGACCCATTCTCTTTAATATTTTTATTAGTGATATTGCAGAAGGTCTTGATGGTAAGGTATGTCTTTTTGCTGATGATACTAAGATATGTAACAGGGTTGATGTTCCAGGAGGGATAAGCCAAATGACAAATGATTTAGGTAAACTAGAAAAATGGTCAGAATTGTGGCAACTGACATTTAATGTGGATAAGTGCAAGATAATGCATCTTGGACGTAAAAACCCAAGGGCAGAGTACAGAATATTTGATAGAATTCTAACCTCAACATATGAGGAAAGGGATTTAGGGGTGATTATTTCTGATGACTTAAAGGTAGGCAGACAATGTAATAGAGCAGCAGGAAATGCTAGCAGAATGCTTGGTTGTATAGGGAGAGGTATTAGCAGTAGAAAGAGGGAAGTGCTCATGCCATTGTACAGAATACTGGTGAGACCTCACTTGGAGTATTGTACACAGTACTGGAGACCGTATCTTCAGAAGGATATTGATACCTTAGAGAGAGTTCAGAGAAGGGCTACTAAACTGGTTCATGGATTGCAGGATAAAACTTACCAGGAAAGGTTAAAGGATCTTAACATGTATAGCTTGGAGGAAAGACGAGACAGGGGATATGATAGAAACATTTAAATATATAAAGGGAATCAACACAGTAATGGAGGAGACTATATTTAAAAGAAGAAAAACTACCACAACAAGAGGACATAGTCTTAAATTAGAGGGACAAAGGTTTAAAAATAATATCAAGAAGTATTACTTTACTGAGAGGGTAGTGGATGCATGGAATAGCCTTCCTGCTGAAGTGGTAGAGGTTAACACAGTAAAGGAGTTTAAGCATGCATGGGATAGGCATAAGGTTATCCTAACTACAAGATAAGGCTAGGGACTAATGAAAGTTTTTAGAAAATTGGGCAGACTAGATGGGCCGAATGGTTCTTAGCTGCCGTCACATTCTATGTTTTTATGTTTCTATATTACCGACTATCACAAGTTACCCACTGGCGCCTTTTAGTGATCCTGTGGACAACTACCTAGTGAGGATTATGGAACACCAGGCCCTTGCTCACCCAAAGCAGGGCTAGCCAAAAGGTAGAACATGCAAAGCCTCATGGAACCATAGTTCAAGAACAGCTGGGTTCTACGTTTCAAACCCGCTGCTACAGGATATATCAAGCTGCTAGTTGGACAGCAAACAAAAAGGAGCGACTGGTTAGTGATGTAGTTTCTGACGAATGATTATAATTATTCGAAATATTTATTTTCTGTGTTTACTTTTTTGTTACATTTTTATTGAGAAATATATACAACTTAGACTGTGTGTAATAAATCAGACCTGGCTCGCCAAATTATCACGAATACTAGACAAATATTTATGCTTTCCCTGCGATCTCTGAGCAAGTTGCCCTTAGTGTTTGCACTAAATATACATAAAATAAATATATCCATTTCTCATGGTGCGACAACAAGCTTAAATACCTAGGGATCTGGATCTGACCTAACGACCTAAACCTCCTATACCAGTTTAACTTCCTCACCATTCTCGCAGTCCTGCAGTCTGATCTACGCCACTGGAGGAACCGCTACGTCTCCTGGTTCGGCCGGATTAACGTCGTTAAAATGAATGTTTTACCGCGCCTCCTATTTCTGTTCCAAGCGATACACATCTCCATACCAAGAGCCTTTTTCTAATCTCTCTCCAAGGTGATCCGGCAATTCGTGTGGAACAGGAAGGCGAGAAGGGTGAGCAAGGCGCTCCTAGAACGCCCCAAAGCAGTGGGGGAGCTGGCCTCCCTTCCTTCCTGGGATATTACCATGCCTCCCACTTATTTAGGATTGTGGACTGGCACGTACGCCACACGGCTAAATTATGGGTTCCCATGGAACTCACCCAGTCGGACGGAACTCTCCCCTCCCGCCTGTGGCTTGGATCCCTCACACAACCCAATGATTGATGCAACGCTACGAGTCTGGTGCACGGTGCGGTACTCGCACCAACGCACCAACTCCATCACACACAACCCGGGGGTTAGAGGGGGACTAGCGCCTGCAGACCTGCACACATACACTGACTCTGACTGGCTCAGCTTCCACCACATAATGCAGGGGGACCAGCTCAAGCCTCTCTCTGACAATTATCCTTGGGGCCTAGACCACTTCCATTACCTTCAAATACGGGCGTATTATGCGACCTTCCCGAACAAACAGTGCCTCCACAGAACCCCCACACAGTTTGAAACACTCTGCACCACAATGGCTCACCCTGACAGGGGCGTTTCTACACTATACGCACTTCTCACCACTGGAGAAAACCTGACGCACCCAAGATACATAACTAGATGGGAAACAGAGACAGGAACCACGCTCACAGAACAGGAATGGGACAAGATTTTTATTCTAATACATAAATGTTCCATCAGCTCCAAACTTCAGGAGACCAGTTTTAAGATCCTCACACACTGGTATAGAACCCCAGATATTCTGCACCGTATAAACTCAGAGATACCCGGGGATTGTTGGAGATGTGGCGATGCCGATGGCTTTGCCCTCCACATCTGGTGGAGCTGCCCCAGCATCGCCCCCTTCTGGGCAATGATCCAAGAGACCATTAAACAAATCACAGATATTGCCCTTCCACTACAACCCCTCACCATGATCCTCCATCACACTGACATGACCCTCTCAGTATACAAGAAATCTCTAATAAAACACCTACTGACAGCATCCATTGCACTGGTCCCTACAAGGTGGAGACACAAAGATGCGCCCACGCTCCAACAGTGGATTGACAAGGTGGGAGAACTATACAACATAGAATCCCTTACAGCAGCACTACATGATAGGCAAGAGAAATTTACTCGCACTTGGACGCCCTGGCTGTGGTACCTCTCAGCGGGCGGGGCGGGGAGCCGGGAGCCCCCCGTCCCACCCACCCCCCTCTCCTTCCTACAACCCCCCCTTCTCACCCACCAGCTTCGACTGATAGACGGAAGGCTGACCGAGATCCGACCTCTCTGGTGACCCCCTTGGCTGCAGACACTCGTCCATGTAGCCTTGAGCGGGTCTCTGACGAACTGGACATCGGTCTCCGTTTAATTCCCCGGACAGTTGACTGTGACTATGTCAGCTTACTGGTACGCTCTCAGAAGCCAGGAAGCCACGATCTGGACTGCCCTACACCACTGCAGGTTTCTAGAGAGACAATGACCACCGCACCCAACCATAGTGCGTGAAAGAACCAGCCTTACACTACAATGCCACCATCTAGGCCTCACCCATTGTAGCATGTCGACTGTTCTAAGGTCCTACGTGGTTTGATGTGTTTAAATACTGTTTCAATCCTGTTGGATATTATATATCTTATACGTTGATACTCTGTACTCTACTTTGTTCAAAAACTGACAAACTGTATCCATGCTAAAAGTCAAAATAAAGAGTGTCAAAAAAAATAAAAAATAAATATAGAATAAATGCTCTAGGATGTATTAAAATCAACACTTTTCCTCTTTATACCTAAACGAGGCAGGTGTCTTTTTTATTTACGTAGTGACAGGTGGACATTTTTACCATCTAGTATGGAAACCAGTGCTACTTTAGAGTTTATCATCTCGCATTAAAAAACTTGAAAACTTTTGTCAGAAGTGAATACCAGTCATTAAACATGAACATTTGTAGCATGGAAACCTCTGGTAATAGCTAATGATAGTAATTGCCATTTTAGTTCCTGTGGATCCAACTCGTCTTGATGCAAATCTGCTTTGTCTGCTAGTCCACCTATTGTACAGCGCTGCAGAATTTGTTGGCACTTGATCAATAATTATAATAATAGTATGTAAACACAGGTGCCTGATTTTAACTCGGCATCTGTATTTACTGTATACGAGCATATGCAACGATCACGTATGCATACTGATGGAGATTTTTTGTTTTTATTGCTTATATATTACAAGATTAATATTGGACCATTGCTTATTTGCATAGTAAGAAAATCTGTACTATATAATCTCTAGGTTGAAAGCTTGTTTGAGCAGCGTCTGTGCAATATATTGTCTCATTAGTTCTTAAAGACGCCATATAACAATGCAATGTTTAGTGGACCCAGGACATACTTGAAAATCCGAGAAATCTCAATGTATCCATTCTGGTAAAATATTTGATAAATAAATATAAATAATAATAATAATACTTCATTCTCCACAATCGTTAATTAAAAAACAAATACATATTTATACTATGCAATCTATGTGTAGAATTGCAGGAAATCTAATTTGCAATTCTGTATTTTAAATAAATGTTATGCTTAAATGTGTTTAAATAAAAATAATTTGGTTATAAAGGGGTTAATTTAACAGACTATATTTTAAGGCCATTGAACAGGTTGAAAATTGTGCCACCTAGTGGTAGAAATACAGAAATGCCGGTCATTTCACTTACTAAATCACTGCAACTTTTCAAAGACGTAAAGGAATTCTAGGGAAATTGCATCCCTGAACCTGCAGGCATTCATATGGCTTGCGATACACTAGTGGGGAGAAACATTCCTCCTTTCAAACAGAGGAAATTAGTAGGTATCCAGTCTGTATTACACGAGTCCTACAGTTCTCAGAAGAGAACACTGAACTTGTATCTCTCTATAGACTGAACAAAGAACCCCGCAGCTCCCATTAAATCCTACACTGAACCCCGCAGCTCCCATTAAATCCTACACTGCACCCTGCAGCTCCCATTAAATCCTACACTGAACCCCGCAGCTCCCATTAAATCCTACACTGAACCCTGCAGCTCACATTAAATCCTACACTGAACCCCGCAGCTCACATTAAATCCTACACTGAACCCTGCAGCTCACATTAAATCCTACACTGAACCCCGCAGCTCACATTAAATCCTACAATGAACCCTGCAGCTCACATTAAATCCTACACTGAACCCTGCAGCTCACATTAAATCCTACACTGAACCCTGCAGCTCCCATTAAATCCTACACTGAACCCCGCAGCTCCCATTAAATCCTACACTGAACCCTGCAGCTCCCATTAAATCCTACACTGAACCCCGCAGCTCCCATTAAATCCTACACTGAACCCCGCAGCTCACATTAAATCCAACACTGAACCCCGCAGCTCACATTAAATCCTACACTGAACCCCGCAGCTCACATTAAATCCAACACTGAACCCCGCAGCTCACATTAAATCCAACACTGAACCCCGCAGCTCACATTAAATCCTACACTGAACCCTGCAGCTCACATTAAATCCTACACTGAACCCCGCAGCTCACATTAAATCCTACACTGAACACAGCAGCTCACATTAAATCCTACACTGAACCCAGCAGCTCACATTAAATCCTACACTGAACCCCGCAGCTCACATTAAATCCTACACTGAACCCTGCAGCTCACATTAAATCCTACACTGAACCCCGCAGCTCACATTAAATCCTACAATGAACCCTGCAGCTCACATTAAATCCTACACTGAACCCTGCAGCTCACATTAAATCCTACACTGAACCCTGCAGCTCACATTAAATCCTACACTGAACACAGCAGCTCACATTAAATCCTACACTGAACCCCGCAGCTCCCATTAAATCCAACACTGAACCCTGCAGCTCACATTAAATCCTACACTGAACCCTGCAGCTCACATTAAATCCTACACTGAACCCCGCAGCTCACATTAAATCCAACGCTGAACCCAGCAGCTCACATTAAATCCTATACTGAACCCCGCAGCTCACATTAAATCCTACACTGAACCCTGCAGCTCACATTAAATCCAACACTGAACCCAGCAGATCATATTAAATCCAACACTGAACCCCACAGCTCACATTAAATCCAACACTGAACCTCACAGCTCACATTAAATCCTACACTGAACCTCACAGCTCACATTAAATCCTACACTGAACCCAGCAGATCATATTAAATCCAACACTGAACCCCACAGCTCACATTAAATCCAACACTGAACCTCACAGCTCACATTAAATCCTACACTGAACCTCACAGCTCACATTAAATCCTACACTGAACCCAGCAGCTCACATTAAATCCTACACTGAACCCAGCAGCTCACATTAAATCCAACACTGAACCCTGCAGCTCACATTAAATCCTACACTGAACCTGCAGCTCTCCACAGACTGAACATTGAACCCTGCAGCGTTCCATAGACTGAACACTGAGACCTGCAGCTCCCCATAGACTGAGCACTGAACCCAGCAGCGTTCCATAGACTGAGCACTGAACCCAGCAGCGTTCCATAGACTGAACACTGAACCCTGCAGCTCTCTATAGACTGAGCACTGAACCATGCAGCTCTCCATAGACTGAGCACTGAACCCTGCAGCTCTCCATAGACTGAACAATGAACCAAGCAGCTCTCCATAGACTGAATACTGAACCCTGCAGCTCTCCATAGACTGAATACTGAACCCAGCAGCTCTCCATAGACTGAATACTGAACCCAGCAGCTCTCCATAGACTGAGCAATGAACCATGCAGCTCTCCATAGACTGAACAATGAACCCTGCAGCTCTCTATAGACTGAGCACTGAACCCTGCAGCTCTCCATAGACTGAATACTAAACCCTGCAGCACTCCATAGACTGAATACTGAACCCTGCAGCTCTCCATAGACTGAACACTGAACCCTGCAGCTCTCCATAGACTGAACACTGAACCCTGCAGCTCTCCATAGACTGAATACTGAACCCAGCAGCTCTCCATAGACTGAACAATGAACCCTGCAGCTCTCCATAGACTGAATACTGAACCCAGCAGCTCTCCATAGACTGAACACTGAACCCTGCAGCTCTCCATAGACTGAATATTGAACCCGGCAGCTCTCCATAGACTGAACACCGAACCCAGCAGCTCTCCACAGACTGAACACTGAACCCTGCAGCTCTCTATAGACTGAGCACTGAACCCTGCAGCTCGCCATAGACTGAACAATGAACCATGCAGCTCTCCATAGACCGAACAATGAACCCTGCAGCTCTCTATAGACTGAGCACTGAACCCTGCAGCTCTCCATAGACTGAATACTAAACCCTGCAGCTCTCTATAGACTGAACACTGAATCCTGCAGCTCTCCATAGACTGAACAATGAATCCTGCAGCTCTCCATAGACTGAGTACTGCAGCTCTCTATAGACTGAGCACTGAACCCTGCATATCTCCATAGACTGAGCACTGAACCCTGCACCTCTCCATAGACTGAGCACTGAACCCTGCAGCTCTCCATAGACTGAGCACTGAACCCTGCAGCTCTCCATAGACTGAACACTGAACCCTGCAGCTCTCCATAGACTGAATACTGAACCCTGCAGCTCTCCATAGACTGAACACTGAACCCTGCAGCTCTCCATAGACTGAATACTGAACCCTGCAGCTCTCCATAGACTGAATACTGAACCCTGCAGCTCTCCATAGACTGAATACTGAACCCTGCAGCTCTCCATAGACTGAATACTAAACCCTGCAGCTCTCCATAGACTGAACACTGAACCCAGCAGCTCCCCATAGACTGAATACTAAGCCCAGCAGCTCTCCATAGACTGAACCCTGAATCCAACGGATGTCCACTTATTTCACATAGGACTTGGCATGGTCTGACCATCAGCAGATCTTGCTGGATTTAGTGGCAGAGTTCGGTGGAGCTGCGGCCTGGTTCATTTTAGTAATTATTATAGCAAATAAGTCTTGGGTTTTCATGTAATATTTGTGGTCTCAGGTCTCAATTTATGTGAACGTGAGCTCTTTGAACAGGCCTCGTAAAAGGCAATTTTCAGGAAAACCTAAATTGTAAACATAATTATAAAAAAGAATTCTTCTTCTCCCAACCTCCTGCGAGCGGCTGGAATGTTCACAGCTTCCAAAATTCTGACATTGTATTTCTTTAGACAATCTGAGAATGCACTTCGTCCACAGAAGACTTTGTGTGCTTTTGGCTAATCCTGCAGAGATAATGGATCATACCGTTCGGTGGGTGGGAAGAGAACTGAGAGACCTGGAGATCTGAAATCATTTCAACAGGAACAATGGAGGCATTTTCACTCAGTCTGAGATCCTATCATTACGTTTTCAATATCAGGGTTTAAAGGTTTAAATAAAAAAGTTGTCAAACTAAGGCCCACAAGGGAAGCAGGACAAGGGATTTGCAGGATAATATATTGACCATTGCCCACTAACACAATGTTAATTATTAATAAGATAAATGATACAATTATGGCAGGATCCTGACGTTCTTTGGACAAAGTCGAACAGTTATTCATGAAAGTGGGAATGGTCAGGAATTCAAAGTGACTTTCATATTAAAGTCCAAAATAATAAAAATAAACATTTTGCAATAATAAATTAGAACATGAGAACAGGTGGGAATACAAACAAAGTGTAAAAATTATGTCAAAAATAGCCAAACAACACAGACAATTTTTCTAAATCAGCTATTGGCCTAAATTTTGAAATTCACTTTAAATTTAAATGGAATTCCTGGCGAATCCCCCTTTACTGAATAACCCAGTAAGTGTCACCTTAAAGTAAAACAAAAGCGTTAGGAATACAAATTCTTCTTTCGTACGCTATAGTGCACCTATCACTGATAATATTCAGGCACCCCAAACCCATTTGCAGCATTTTATTTAAAAAAGCGTTTATTCCTCTTGATCCTCTGCACCTCTCCTCCTCCCGCGATGTCATCAAAGAGTCATGGCCTCCTCCGGTGATCTAGGACATGTTATAGTGATTTTGATGCAAAGACTGCCCTGGTGCCATCCTATGGTAAGATGCCATTTCAGCACAGTTTGACATCAAACCTGGGTTCTGCTGGTTAGAAAACCTGCCTCTGGACTTCACTATAGAACAAAGCAGGCCCTCAGTCACTGGCTGAGATAAATGAGAGTGGTCTCTCTAAAGCGACATGCAGTTTGTTCTGATGGAGAAGGACCGATGCAGCAGATGGAGCGTGATCCAGGTAATTTGTCATGCTGTGCTAAAATAGACAGAGCCAGTGCACTCCTGGCACTATAACCACTACGATGGAGTGTTTCTTTAAGGGGTATAAAGCATCTTCGGGTATGTTTTGATATTTTAATGACTTTGATCCTCCTTCGGTAACGGTGTCCGCTTTCTTCCAGAGATGTAGAAACTCCTCGTATCATGCAACTGGCGTAGGTGATGAGAGAGTGCGGAGTATGCCTTTAAATGTGTTGCAGATGCATTCTTTTTCTCACGGAAACACATTTCTCTGTCTCCCCCTGGGGTTTTTGTATGGCTGCAGGGAGATTATCGAGCATATTGTATCAGACTCTGAATCTGGAATGAGTTGCTGGACATGGACTGAGGATTGGGGAAGATGTTAGGAATTTGTGGATAGAAGGATGGAGTGTCAGGGTACGTTTTGTTTAGGGTTTATAGATGAGCAGTGAATTATCCAGGGGCGCATTGCTGAGGGATGAGTAGAGAACAGAAACACTGATCTTTTAATACAGAAAGCCTGGCTAAGAGTGACAGGCGATACAGTCCATAACATGTCCAGGGGCTGCGCTACAGGTAAAAACACAGCATTGTAATAATGCTTGGCCCCTGAGTGATGGCGATAAAGTGAAAGAAATTTACGCTAAAATAGCAGAGAGAAAATACCTGAGATGAAAAATGTAGGCACTTTCTTTACTAACTCGTTTATACATACATTTCCAAGGCTACGGTAAAGTGCCTGCTCATTTAAAAAAATAAAATTTAATGTAAGGCTGGAGGTTAAAGGGGAGAATGTTATAAATTCTTTTCCCTTGTGATTGTTTTGCCCTTTAAATATATGTCATTGGCTCTGACGATGGAAGGAATGTGAATGAACCTCCTCACATCTGCCAGGAGCACATCCTGCTAATGAATAAGGATTCCTGACTTTGCACATCTGTCAGAGCAAAGATCAGGTAATTATTTTGCAATCTGTAGCAAAGAAAACAGATCTTCTTCTGTGCGTTATGCAACTGTGATGAAATGGTGGCAAAGTTACTGTGAAGAGGACTCCCAGCATTCATTCCTATTTATCAGTACTAGATTATAATTGGCCTGGGACATTGCTCCTCGGAACAAGCTGTGATTTCAGAAAATACTTGAGATGTTTATTCACTAAACTGTAAATTGTGGAGAATAAATATAGAATGGCAAACTTTAATACAATATAGTCAAAGCTAGAAGGATAGCTCTGGGAGGATAGCTCTGATTGGATGGCACTGGTCAGATAACCCTGGTATGATGGCACTGGTAGGATGACCCTTGTAAGATAGCTCTGATTGGATGGCACTGGTCGGACAGCCTTGTAAGATAGCTCTGATTGGATGGCACTGGTTGGATAGCCTTGTAAGATAGCTCTGATTGGATGGCACTGGTTGGATAGCCTTGGTAAGATAGCTCTGATTGGATGGCACTGGTCGGATAGCCTTGGTAAGATAGCTCTGATTGGATGGCACTGGTCGGATAGCCTTGGTAAGATAGCTCTGATTGGATTGCACTGGTCGGATAGCCTTGGTAAGATAGCTATGATTGGATGGCACTGGTCAGATAATCCTGGTATGATGGCAGTGGTAGGATGACCCTTGTAAGATAGCCCTGATTGGATTGCACTGGTCGGATAGCCTTGTAAGATAGCTCTGATTGGATGGCACTGGTCGGATAGCCTTGGTAAGATAGCTCTGATTGGATAGCCTTGGTAAGATAGCTATGATTGGATGGCACTGGTCGGATAGCCTTGTAAGATAGCTCTGATTGGATGGCACTGGTCGGATAACCTTATAAGATAGCTCTGATTGGATGGCACTGGTCGGATAGCGTTGGTAAGATAGCTCTGATTGGATGGCACTGGTCGGATAGCCTTGGTAAGATAGCTATGATTGGATGGCACTGGTCGGATAGCCTTGTAAGATAGCTCTGATTAGATAGCACTGGTCGGATAGCCTTGGTAAGATAGCTCTGATTAGATAGCACTGGTCTGATAGCCTTGGTAAGATAGCTCTGATTGGATGGCACTGGTCGGATAGCCTTGGTAAGATAGCTCTGATTGGAAGGCACTGGTCGGATAGCCTTGGTAAGATAGCTCTGATTGGATGGCACTGGTCAGATAAATGAATTGGAAGAAAATTTCCAATTTGGTTTTGTTTTCAGTAAATTCCCCAAAATTCTCATTAGTGAATAACAATGAATGATTCAACAATCTTCTGTGAAAACATGAATTACACACGTCCAGGACTGGTAGCAGTCCCTAAATATTTGGATTTCCCACCATTGTTCTACATAAATACCTCCACGTTTTATCCTACAGGTTAGAAGCTTTAAGACCTGTAATTATGATTCAGCAGACTATTGGTGGATGGCAGCCAGAGGTCAGGCTCACTATGGTCCAAGTGCAGCCTGTGGACACATACTATCATATAATGGAGAATATGAGTTATGTACTTAGATTTCACCAGAATCAGCCTCTTTCATGGAAATTCAGTGTTTCCAACAACACACTAAACACTTTCTCTTAATGCATTTATAGTCTTATTAGTGTTTTTAACCCTTTAAGTACATTAATGAGTTCCTCACTCCTTACGGAATTTAAAAAGTTACAGCCAAATTCGTGATCATTGTCGCATTTCAGAGACAAGAGAAGATTGTACAAAGAACAGCCTGTTAGACTGTGTCCATCTCACCGATACAGTGGGTGCCCTGTGTGCTGATCCGGTATCCATTGTTACATACGCAGGCGTAACTGCCAGAGCGGGGAACGCAGCGTCCAGGACCACAGATTTGGGGATTTAACTCACACAAGTTGGTTTCTGTAAACAAGAATAATCATTTAAACCATGTTTTAGAACAGAAACAATATATATGTATCTCTTTTACTTTCAGATAATTTCTTTCAGAAGAACCAGTATATCAGAATAGGTGTGTGTAGCTTAATCTTTAGAAAATAGCTTACCCCTGTAGATATGCACAGTACTTCAATCCTGCAAACATCATATAATTTATAATTCCTGGGTTTATGGAATTCATTCTACAAAATCTGGCTTGTATCTATAGATTTGGATGGCATCCCATCTACGGCAGAATGTTGTGTCCAAAAACTATACTTTGGTTCATTAAAGGGACACCGTAGGCACTGTATCTGCTTCATCTCATTAAACTGGTTATAGTGTCTGGAGTCCTCTGGTACCATCATTTCTTTCAGCATTAAACAGTTTTTAAACTTTTAAGGTTTTAATGCTAAACAAGAGTCCCCGGCAATCCATCACCTCTGTGCTGCTTTGGCTAATAAGGAAGTGTAACGGATGGCACTGGGCTGTCCTGAGACTTGTGTTAGTTTATACTGTATTCGTCAAATTGCAAAGTATATGTGTATTAATGTGATGTATTCGTCTGATTGTTCGGTAGAATCATTCTAACAAATAAGGGAATGAAACTACCGAACAGTCAGACCTCCCCAGTGTGAAGTGTGCCTTCAAATACCCGTTGCAACATTGTTGCGAACGGGTAATTGACAAGCTGTATAGTAATCCTTTGTTCTCGGGGATGGCCGCCATTCGGGAAACGAACACGTGGCGGCGGCCATTTTAAAACTCCCGAACAGCGGTGTTTTGCCGTCGAGTGTCTGGAACTCAAAACGGACACTCGACTAAGCTAACACCGCTGAGACCTCCACCAGCCCGGTCCGTTTGGTTCCAAACTACCGAACGGCCCCTCGTTCAGTAGACAGAAACAACCAAACGAGGGGATTCAGGCGAACCCTCCCCAGTCTCCCCTAGGCTTTCGTGTAATTCATTCCCTTTTTCCAGGACCGACCGCAGGGCCCCATCGCATGGAGCCCAATTCGGCTATTTCTTCCCGTGCGGTCGGTCATTCTATTCCCTCCATGAATTTCCCGAACCCCTGGTCTGATCTGGGTGATTTTTGGATATGTTGTTCACCCAGATCAGAGCTACCAGGAGATGTATAATTTAAAGTGGTACCCCTAGGTTTAGGGGTACATCCAGAAACGGGGGGAATTGGTGTCCTGGATAAGGGGATTATGATGCAGGTTGAGGCGAGGGGATGTGTGGGAGGGTACCCGAACAGGATTGGCTATTATGCTAATGAATGGAAATCCCTCCCTTCCATGGGAGCATTCTTTATAAGGCCACTGGCTGAATAAATCTTTAGTTCTGCTCCTGATACTGTGTGTCGTCCAGTTATTGGGATTGCTGTTGGGATACTACTGTATTGTTTTGCCTGCTGGATACTTTGCCTATGGATTTATAACTACTTGTTCCTGAGCCTCACTGGGATCTACAAGTGGAGGTAGGCTATGAAATACTAGCTCTCCGCTACAGGAAGTAATAGGCAGCTGTGATTGGCTGAGAGTATCAGCTGACTGCTTTTAGCCTGTCAGAGTTCCAACTGACAGTATGAATGGGTATGACAACAAGGAAGTGTGTAATCTCTGCCTTAGCTACACATAATGAAGGGGCCGGACTATGGGTGGCCAGGGACTCTTATTTTGTGGCATACTGCACGAACATGGTGCAACACTGAATGGAGGGACAGTGCCAGGGCATTCCAGGCACTATAACCAATTCAAAGAGATGAAATGCTTATAGTGTCTACAGTGTCCCTTTAAGACTCGATATGATGCAATGGAACGCCCACTGTGACTTTGGTTTTATTGACTTTTAAAGACTTACCTTGAGGGGGAGTCTCCACCCGGGTCTCTGTTTCCTTTGGAATTTGCACAGGAGGATTGCTTTCTCCTTGGACTTGTGTGGATCCCGTATGGTCTGTGGAGACTCCCTGGCTCCTGTCCAGTCTCCCCTCTGGTACGTTAACACGAGTTTCGACTGTAATAAACAATATGTCTGAGCAGTTTTAAATACATGCTGGCTGCGTTGTTGTGAGGCGCCATGCTTGCACGCAGCATGCAGTAAGACGCTGGTTAATATTAGAAAGTACCAAGAGAACAGTTAAATTAATGTTACTGCAGCCCCATGGATACAAATAGGCAGAGGAGGACCTTGACAGTTGTGTTGAGCAAGGCTGTACAGCTTGGTGGATAGAGAAAGGGGAATAGGGGGCAGAGGGCATGTATAGGCTGGTGTAACAGTTACACTTCAGTCATTTTAGTTTTGCAACTGTCCCCTCATGTTGTTGTGGGGAATGTAACTGAATAGCTTTTCAAACAGTAGGGAGAGTGTAACCAGGAGAGACACTGCTCTCTGCAGTCTATCCAAGCAGTACCTGACATTCCAGTACGCAGGATGGTGCTGTGTGCAGGTAACGCAGGATGGTACTGTGTGTAGAGAATGCAGGATGGTGCTGTGTGCAGGTAACGCAGGATGGTGCTGTGTGCAGGTAATGCAGGATGGTGCTGTGTACAGGTAACGCAGGATGGTGCAGTGTGCAGATATCGTAGGATGGTGCTGTGTGCAGGTAACGCAGGATGGTGCTGTGTGCAGGTAACGCAGGATGGTAGTGTGTGCAGAGAAGCAGGATGGTGCTGTGTGCAGATGAAGCAGGATGGTGCTGTGTGCAGGTAACGCAGGATGGTGCTGTGTGCAGGTAACACAGGAGGTTAGGGTGTGCAGAGAATGCAGGATGGTGCAGTGTGCAGAGAATGCAGGACGGTGCTGTGTGCAGAGAATGCAGGATGGTGCTGTGTGCAGAGAATACAGGATGGTGCTGTGTGCAGAGAATACAGGACGGTGCTGTGTGCAGAGAGTGCAGGATGGTAGGGTGTGCAGAGAATGCAGGATGGTAGGGTGTGCAGAGAATGCAGGATGGTGCTGGGTGCAGAGATCGCAGGATGGTGCTGTGTGCAGAGAATGCAGGATGGTAGGGTGTGCAGAGAATGCAGGATTGTGCTGTGTGTGGAGAATGCAGGATGGTACTGGGTGCAGATAATGCAGGATGGTAGGGTGTGCAGAGAATGCAGGATGGTAGGGTGTGCAGAGAATGCAGGATGGTGCTGTGTGCAGAGAATGCAGGATGGTGCTGTGTGCAGAGAATGCAGGATGGTAGGGTTTGGTTCCTGAGTGACTTGAAGAGACTGGAAGTGCCCAGTGTTCCAGTCCTGCATCCTGTCACAGTACCAGTTAGGTGACATCATAGCTGCAGAAATCATCTGCGAGGGAAGACAGGTTCACTCTCAGCCAGGAGGCTTAAGGGGCAGTGTGACAGAACACCCTGTCACTGTATATACCTTGTTCACACCCTTTTCCCAGTTCCATTTGTTAACCAAACAAACCGACGAATTCCCCTTGTTCTACCACCCAGACTCAGTCCACCTGGGAGCTTGTTAATCCCCATTGACCTATACTGACACCTCCATCATTGGTTCGCACCTCAGGATTCTAAGTGTTCTTCTGGGCGGCCACCATTTGCATAGACGAACACGTGGAAAATGAGTTGGCAGCCATCTTGTCGCACAAATACAGGCAGCGGTGTTCGGTCGTCGAGTGCATGGAACTAAAATCAGACACTCTAACTCGCGAACACCACTGAACTTCCATTCTCACCTGCTTTTGTTTCTGTGCACCCCAGAAGAGCATTGTTCGGTAGGGTTGTTCGCATGAACTAGGCGAACAATCGCTACCCAGGAACCTTAGTATACGTTTGGTAATTTGCTCGGTTTTGTACTCCCAAAAGAGACCGACCACCACCACCTTTCTTCTGGAACTATTTTGGGCAGGCGCCTCGTGTGTGATCGGTCAAAGCTTTACCCCGGTGGCGATTCGGCTGTGTTCGTGGGATCTGAGCGCTTTTTGGATATGTTGTGCGCGCAGATCCAGGCTATCCGGGGATATAAGGCTTGAAGGGGTATATGGTTGTATTATATCTGTTTTAGGGTGTTATAAAATAGTGTAGATTTTTCTGTACCGGAGAAATAATTGAGTTATAGTTTTTTCTCACAACTTTATCGCTCAGGCATAGAGGATCTTGGGAGAAAAGACCCTGTATGTTTGTGTGAGAAACCCCATATAGGGGTCTATGCATAAAAGGCCGTGTGTGGCCCATAATAAAGTCAGTTCACTCCCAGCATTCAGTCTGTGGGGGAAAGCTATACCTACTCTGGAGTTACATTTCTTGGAAAGCTATACTCTTCCACAGTGATACTACTGAATTTGGTGCAGCAGGGTTCCTGAGAGGGGAAAATACTTAATTGGCGGCGAAACCCATGTTCATATCCGGGTGGCCACCACAGGCAGCATCGCAGAGCTGTCTGAAGATACTATGGAGTGGATGTACAGTGGAGCAGCTGCTGGAGGTGACCCAGATGGTGGCATGTCAACGGATAGTGGATTGGGCCCAGCTCCTGAACAGGGGGTAGAAAAGGCCTTGTTTTTATTGGGTGGGGTAGCCCAAGCGTAGTAAGGGGTCATCTGCTAGGGCATTGGTGGTAGCTTACTCCTGGGGATGGTCTATGGCCTCACAATGAGGATGTGGTGATAGCCTAATGGACCTGGTGAAAGGTTTTGAGACGGAAGAGGGGTTCTTAGCATAAATGGGGGGCTGGGCAGACGGTTCTGTCCCAGCGGTTGGATCGGTTCAAACACGGGGATCCATGGGAGCAAGCTGGTGCTGGAAAGGTTACATTTGTAATGGTTAATTATGCTAATTACAGTCTGAAAGTTATTTAGGGTTATGTTAACCCTGTGTTAAAAATCATTGTCATTGCCTAATGTTGTTATAAGGTTCAAAATATATTTAATGTTAATTGGAGGCAATGACTGTTTTAATAAATAAAACAGTTTGTGCCCTTTTTTACCCACTACATCTGTGCCTTGTGGTTTGATTTGTAGTAGACACAGACTGGTAGTCATGGCTACAACTATCAAGTATTTAAACTCAATTAATACGAAAGTTGCAAATTTTGGACTAAATTAGTAAAACTGGAAAAATTTGCAAATTCTGCTATTTTTCCAGCTCAGCTATAAAGGGCTATAATGAATTCATCAGGAATCCCACCGAAGCGAACAATGCCTACAATACAATGATGCTGGTTTCCTCTTTATCCACACATCCTCATTATGAGATGGTTTCCCCCATAGATTTCAGTGGTTTCCCCTCTTTAGGAGATGGTTTCCCCCCTTTAGGAGATGGTTTGCCCCATAGATTTCAGTGGTTTCCCCTCTTTAGGAGATGGTTTCCCCCCTTTAGGAGATGGTTTGTCCCATATATTTCAGTGGTATCCCCTCTTTATGAGATAGCTTATCCCCATAGGTTTAAGCGGTTTCTCCTCTTTATGAGATGGCGTGGGCATGCGCAGGGGCCGCATTAAAGCTCCGTTAACATTTATAAATGCTGTATGAGTTTTCTTGGCATGTTATAACCTGCCGTGTCTTACCGTAGGGCAGCTGACGGGCTGTGGCGGGCGTGGTGAAAGTCGGCCGCCTGACTCCTGGCTGCCGTATGACTGGCACCCTGGGTTGGTCTTGCCCCACATAGCGGGCATTGATACGCAGATCAGACGCCGAGTAATGATATCCTGGCCCGGCTGGGCAAGTTTCCTTAAATCCCTCTGGAAGATAAAAAAAAAATCCATTGGAAGCCGAGTTGTAGTACGCATGCACACTCTGTGACAAAGTACAACAAATGGCCATTTTATTCAAAATCTGCCATTAATAAACCTGACTGAGCTCACAAGTGGCACGAATTAGACTAGTGAAATGAAAACCAAATTGTAAATTTAAGCAAAAAATATCTGAATTGCAAAAAGTTTTTAACTCGGCTATAATGACACAGTTTGGATATTGTAGCCTGAATTTTACGTTTAGTGCATAAACTGAAACAGGAATTGCTGAGTTGGACATATTTTGCGTTTTGATAATTTTAGAATAAATTTGTCGTGTAAAGTGTCCACACTTCCTATTCACTCAATACACCCCAAATAAGTCTGGTAAACCATGGTGCTGAAGGGGATACAATGCAGTATGATATGATCAGACCCTGAAACGTGATTTTTATTGGCTCGCTATTTCAATCCTCTCACTGCCAGAACAGACAGCAGCACAAGACTGAGAACAATGCGCTGAAATTGGTCCTTTTTTTTACCTGTGCCAAAAGGAGGGCACCTCTCGCAGCCTCTGCCCCAAGCTTTTCCCACACGACTACAGCAGCAGATCTGTTTAGTAATGTTCTTGAGGATGGGGTGTGAGCAGCCACCGTCACGCAAAATCCGGAAACAGGGGCCCTTTGCTTCCGAGATTACATGATCAGCTGAGAGAGAAAAGAGCGAGATTTGGGTAATCTTACTGTGTAATACACAGACATCAGGACACCTACCTCTCCCCTCCTCCTAATACACAGACATCAGGACACCTACCTCTCCCCTCCTCCTAATACACAGACATCAGGACACCTACCTCTCACCTCCTCCTAATACACAGACATCAGGACACCTACCTCTCACCTCCTCCTAATACACAGACATCAGGACACCTACCTCTCCCCTCCTCCTAATACACAGACATCAGGACACCTACCTCTCACCTCCTCCTAATACACAGACATCAGGACACCTACCTCTCCCTCCTCCTAATACACAGACATCAGGACACCTACCTCTCACCTCCTCCTAATACACAGACATCAGGACACCTACCTCTCACCTCCTCCTAATACACAGACATCAGGACACCTACCTCTCACCTCCTCCTAATACACAGACATCAGGACACCTACCTCTCACCTCCTCCTAATACACAGACATCAGGACACCTACCTCTCACCCCCTCCTAATACACAGACATCAGGACACCTACCTCTCACCTCCTCCTAATACACAGACATCAGGACACCTACCTCTCACCTCCTCCTAATACACAGACATCAGGACACCTACCTCTCACCTCCTCCTAATACACAGACATCAGGACACCTACCTCTCACCTCCTCCTAATACACAGACATCAGGACACCTACCTCTCACCTCCTCCTAATACACAGACATCAGGACACCTACCTCTCACCTCCTCCTAATACACAGACATCAGGACACCTACCTCTCACCTCCTCCTAATACACAGACATCAGGACACCTACCTCTCACCCCCTCCTAATACACAGACATCAGGACACCTACCTCCCGCCTCCTTCTACTACAGAGATTGTACTCATTTTATCTACCGTGGAAGTTTAATTCCCAGCTCGGTCAACTGAGCATCTCATACTTTCCAGGTCAATAAAATCAGCACCAATGAGTTGGAAGAGTTACATATTCCTTTCTGGACTTATTTGGAAAGTAGAGAAGTTAACAAATATCCCAGTACAATTCTGCAACAGGTAATGGGTTAACAAGGGATAAAAGAGCCAGCCGGTTACTCACAGATACAGCTGCTCCACGAAGAGTCTAGTAGAAAGCCCGGTCGGCACACACAGGTGAAGCTCCCCCTTGTGTTGGTGCAGTCACCATTCTGGCACAGAGAGGGATCCTTACATTCATCAATATCTGCCAAGAATGAGAGGGAATGTTATATGGGAAGCTGGCAATGAGAAATATAGAGAACTGATCGGAATTACAGAATTCAGACCAAAATAGCTGATTTCGAAATATTGTCTAACCCAACATAGACATAGCTTAGCTATTTGAGCCTAAATTTTGCCATTCAGGTTTTAATTCACTTCTAATCAGGTTCAAATCAGTTAATCAGATTGGAAGCTGATTAAAGAATTCTCCAGGTGAGCCATGGCGCTTGATTAGGTTAGCCTGACCCTCGCAGTTCAGTTTTCGCATCTCCACAATTCACTGTTGAGTGAATAAACCCTCCATTGGGGCTGATATTTAAAGCTCCCACAAGGGAGCAAGAAACACCATCAAAACGGGCCGACGTGTCACGTGATCTCTTGGCAGCAAAACAGAACATAATCATGTTATTTTCTCAGAGTCGCTGTGAACGAGAGGGCACACAGATTGCAGACTTTCTCCAGTAGAAATATACAGAGGTCAGACTAGGTCACGTACAGATCTGGCAATCAATTAATATAGCCCAGTGTTGGCTGCTGTGTCTGGCTTATCAGAGCGTCTAGACATGAGCTGGCAGAGATAAGTGGGTATTAGGCAGGGGCACAGGGGAAAGGAGGGAAATGGGGAACTGCCAAATACCAGAGAAATTGCAAAAAATATCACATTAACCCTTGCAGTGACAGAATGTGGAATATGGATTGAACTGAACCTGTTTTGCACACGGTAATCTGACTTTTTTTCACGGGCGGTTACTTTTATTTTTATGTTACTGTTACCAGGACATTGGCAATAGACAGCAATGTGAATCAGCATGGCGATCACACACAGACACACAATATTACAAATAGGACATATAGCCACTTACCCACACAGGTGCCATTGAGTTTTTCAAATCCTTTAGGGCAAGGAGAATCCGGCAGAGCACCCAGCAGGGCATCGCCTGCAGATACAGAGACTGTGTGAGATTTGACACATGGAACTGCTTGTAACACTGTTGTTACACCCCATGTAACTATCATCTATCACAATGTGAAACCCCTTGTAACATCCAATCATGGTGTGAGACCCCTGTAACCCCCATAGTGTGAGACCCCTGTAACCTCCAATCACAGTGTGAAACCCTCTGTAACCTCCAATCATGGTATGAGACCCCTGTAACCTCCAATCTCAGTGTGAAACCCCCTGTAACCTCCAATAACAGTGTGAGACCCCCTGTAACCTCCAATAACGGTGTGAAACCCCCTGTAACCCCCATAGTGTGAGACCCCTGTAACCTCCAATCACAGTGTGAGACCCCCTGTAACCTCCAATAACGGTGTGAGACCCCCTGTAACCCCCATAGTGTGAGACCCCTGTAACCTCCAATAACGTTGTGAGACCCCCTGTAACCCCCATAGTGTGAGACCCCTGTAACCTCCAATCACAGTGTGAGACCCCCTGTAACCTCCAATAACGGTGTGAGACCACTGTAACCTCCAATAATGGTGTGAGACCCCTGTAACCTCCAATAACGGTGTGAGACCCCCTGTAACCCCCATAGTGTGAGACCCCTGTAACCTCCAATAACGGTGTGAGACCCCCTGTAACCTCCAATAACGGTGTGAGACCACCTGTAACCCCCATAATGTGAGACCCCTGTAACCTCCAATCACAGTGTGAGACCCCCTGTAACCTCCAATAACGGTGTGAGACCACCTGTAACCCCCATAGCGTGAGACCTCTGTAACCTCCAATCACAGTGTGAGACCCCCTGTAACCTCCAATAACGGTGTGAGACCCCTGTAACCTCCAATAACGGTGTGAGACCCCTGTAACCTCCAATCACAGTGTGAGACCCCTGTAACCCCCAATCATGGTGTGAGACCCCTGTAACCTCCAATAACGGTGTGAGACCCCCTGTAACCTCCAATAACGATGTGAGACCCCTGTAACGTCAAATCAGAGTGTAAGACCCCTGTAACCCCCAATCACAGTGGAAAGTCTAAGAATACTATACAGAATATATATAAAACTCAAAATATATTTTTTTATATAACAAAAATTTATTTTAGACTTGAATAATACATTGAAATTTGCACTGGCAGGCAAATAAAAGAGGGCCCATAATGAGCAGAAAATTATATTGGTACTCAATATTCACCTTAAACGTGGGATCGTGAAGACCAGACATGAATTATCATCCTCTAAACCTCCCAAGAAAAAAAGATTTATTTGGGACATAAACTATTTCTCCTACTAAAGAAGACAAGAGTTAAAGAGCACATGGGGTGGATTCCTACCAAAGAAGACAAGAGTTAAAGAGCACATGGGGTGGATTCCTACCAAAGAAGACAAGAGTTAAAGGCCACATGGGGTGGATTCCTACCAAAGAAGACAAGAGTTAGAGAGCACATGGGGTGGATTCCTACCAAGAAAGGCAAGAGTCAAAGAGCATATGGGATGGATTCCTACCTAGGAAGACAAAGGTTAAAGCGCACATGGGGTGGATTCCTACCTAGGAAGACAAGAGTTAAAGAGTACATGGGGTAAATTTCTACCAAAGAAGACAAGAGTTAAAGAGCACATGGGGTGGATTCTTACCTAGGAAGATAAGAGTTAAAGAGCACATGGGGTGAATTCCTACCAAAGAAGACAAGAGTTAAAGAGCACATGGGGTGAATTCCTACCAAAGAAGACAAGAGTTGAAGAGCGCATGGGGTGGATTCTGAAAGCCTCCTGTGAACTCATTAAATACTTTTTATCCCCCTCAAGGGCTTTTAATCATGTTATTGATCACAGATGGACATAAGACATCTATGTTTTCCACGAGAAAAAAGACAGATGTGGGCTTGGCATGCCTCATTAAAAAGTATAATGTGGGTGTATTTTGGAAGACATTGGACTATAACCCCCTGAAAGTCTTGGCGCTGTGTCTTATACAGATCAATTTGATTTCCTGTTACTATCTAGAGCTGGGAAAATGGGTGGTGTGGGGGAGATTATGGGATTATCGCTCCGTGGAACTTCAATTAAAGGTCATACTATACATAAATTGTGGTTTGGGAATTATAGTTCTGGAGTCTATAATGTGAACAACTCTTAAAGATATCAATATGAACAGGAATGTTACACTTCCTGTACATACTGTAGAGATAACACTATTACATATTGTTTATCAAGCTGAGAATCACTGCACACTACTACAAAAACGTTATCAAGCTGTGAATCACTGCACACTACTACAAAACGTTATCAAGGTGGGAATCATTGCACACTACTACAAAAACGTTATCAAGCTGAGAATCATTGCACACTACTACAAAAACGTTATCAAGCTGAGAATCATTGTACACTACTACAAAACGTTATCAAGCTGAGATTCATTGTACACTACTACAAAAACGTTATCAAGCTGAGAATCACTGCACACTACTACAAAAACGTTATCAAGCTGGGAATCACTGCACACTACTACAAAAACGTTATCAAGCTGTGAATCACTGCACACTACTACAAAAACGTTATCAAGCTGAGAATCATTGTACACTACTACAAAAACGTTATCAAGCTGGGAATCACTGCACACTACTACAAAAATGTTATGAAGCTGAGAATCATTGCACACTACTACAAAAACGTTATCAAGCTGAGAATCACTGCACACTACTACAAAAACGTTATCAAGCTGAGAATCATTGCACACTACTACAAAAACTTTATCAAGCTGAGAATCACTGCACACTACTACAAAAACGTTATCAAGCTGAGAATCACTGCACACTACTACAAAAACGTTATCAAGCTGAGAATCACTGCACACTACTACAAACACGTTATCAAGCTGAGAATCATTGTACACTACTACAAAACGTTATCAAGCTGAGATTCATTGTACACTACTGCAAAACGTTATCAAGCTGAGAATCATTGTACACTACTACAAAACGTTATCAAGCTGAGATTCATTGCACACTACTACAAAAACGTTATCAAGCTGAGAATCACTGCACACTACTACAAAACGTTATCAAGTTCATTGCACACTACTACAAAAACGTTATCAAGCTGAGAATCACACTACTACAAAAACGTTATCAAGCTGAGAATCACTGCACACTACTACAAAAACGTTATCAAGCTGGGAATCACTGCACACTACTACAAAAACGTTATGAAGCGGAGAATTCATTGCACACTACTACAAAAACGTTATCAAGCTGAGAATCACTGCACACTACTACAAAAACGTTATCAAGCTGAGAATCATTGCACACTACTACAAAAACGTTATCAAGCTGAGAATCACTGCACACTACTACAAAAACGTTATCAAGCTGAGAATCACTGCACACTACTACAAAAACGTTATCAAGCTGAGAATCATTGTACACTACTACAAAACGTTATCAAGCTGAGATTCATTGTACACTACTACAAAACGTTATCAAGCTGAGAATCATTGTACACTACTACAAAACGTTATCAAGCTGAGATTCATTGTACACTACTACAAAAACGTTATCAAGCTGGGAATCACTGCACACTACTACAAAAATGTTATGAAGCGGAGATTCATTGCACACTACTACAAAAACGTTATCAAGCTGAGAATCATTGCACACTACTACAAAAACGTTATCAAGCTGAGAATCATGCACACTACTACAAAAACGTTATCAAGCTGTGAATCATTGCACACTACTACAAAAACGTTATCAAGCTGAGAATCATTGAACACTACTACAAAAACGTTATCAAGCTGAGAATCACTGCACACTACTACAAAAACGTTATCAAGCTGAGAATCATTGCACACTACTACAAAAACGTTATGAAGCGGAATCATTGCACACTGCTACAAAAACGTTATCAAGCTGTGAATCACTGCACACTACTACAAAAACGTTATCAAGCTGTGAGCACACTACTACAAAAACGTTATCAAGCTGAGAATCATTGCACACTACTACAAAAACGTTATCAAGCTGAGAATCACTGCACACTACTACAAAACGTTATCAAGCTGAGATCATTGTACACTACTACAAAACGTTATCAAGCTGAGAATCATTGCACACTACTACAAAAACGTTATCAAGCTGTGAATCACTGCACACTACTACAAAAACGTTATCAAGCTGAGAATCATTGTACACTACTACAAAAACGTTATCAAGCTGAGAATCACTGCACACTACTACAAAAACGTTATGAAGCGGAGATTCATTGCACACTGCTACAAAAACGTTATCAAGCTGTGAATCACTGCACACTACTACAAAAACGTTATCAAGCTGTGAATTATTGCACACTACTACAAAAACGTTATCAAGCTGTGAATTATTGCACACTACTACAAAAACGTTATCAAGCTGAGAATCACTGCACACTACTACAAAAACGTTATCAAGCTGAGAATCATTGCACACTACTACAAAAACGTTATCAAGCTGAGAATCACTGCACACTACTACAAACACGTTATCAAGCTGAGAATCATTGCACACTACTACAAAAACGTTATCAAGCTGAGAATCACTGCACACTACTACAAAAACGTTATCAAGCTGAGAATCACTGCACACTACTACAAAAACGTTATCAAGCTGTGAATCACTGCACACTACTACAAAAACGTTATCAAGCTGAGAATCATTGCACACTACTACAAAAACGTTATCAAGCTGAGAATCACTGCACACTACTACAAAAACGTTATGAAGCGGAGATTCATTGCACACTGCTACAAAAACGTTATCAAGCTGTGAATCACTGCACACTACTACAAAAACGTTATCAAGCTGAGAATCATTGCACACTACTACAAAAACGTTATCAAGCTGAGAATCACTGCACACTACTACAAAAACGTTATCAAGCTGAGAATCACTGCACACTACTACAAAAACGTTATCAAGCTGAGAATCACTGCACACTACTACAAAAACGTTATCAAGCTGTGAATCACTGCACACTACTACAAAAACGTTATCAAGCTGAGAATCATTGCACACTACTACAAAAACGTTATCAAGCTGTGAATCACTGCACACTACTACAAAAACGTTATCAAGCTGAGAATCATTGTACACTACTACAAAAACGTTATCAAGCTGTGAATCAGTGCACACTACTACAAAAACGTTATCAAGCTGAGAATCATTGCACACTACTACAAAAACGTTATGAAGCGGAGATTCATTGCACACTGCTACAAAAACGTTATCAAGCTGTGAATCAGTGCACACTACTACAAAAACGTTATCAAGCTGAGAATCACTGCACACTACTACAAAAACGTTATCAAGCTGAGAAGTATTGCACATTACAATTGAGAAAACGTTGTTCTAAATAGATCAACCTTCATTCTGTACCTTACAGCAAGTGGACGTCAAACCCATAAAATGATTTAATGTTTTTGGATAAACCTACTTTTAAAATGATTTATTATTTTGATATTGTTTTATTATTATTGATATTGGTTTTTTTAGATGATATATTTTATATTTTAATATTTTGAAAAAAATATTAAAATGTTTCAAAGTTTATCCATATATATTAAATCGTTTAAAAAGCATATTAAAAAATATTAAATTGAGGCCATAATCAGACATTCCCCCATACGCCTAAGTCAGGTGTACCCAAACAGTAGATTTACCCCCATGCCCCACAGCCACATGTATCATATATGTATATATAATGTATTATCACATTTTTGACGTGTCATATTGACTGTTTGTTAGATCAATGAGGCAGGGTCGTCCTTTACTTTTATCTGATAGTTAAACAAAACTCTGATAAGGCTTAATTTTACAGACAGGTACAGAGACAGTTAACTTACCTTGGTACCCGGCACAGGGTGTGCAGTCAAGGACCCCCCAGGCCACTCCATTTCCCTTGCAGCAGACCTCCTGGGTCCTAAGGCCAGGGAATGGGGAGGCACACTAGGATCCAAACAAACATTTAAATCATGAGAAAGCAGGTGTTCTGGCAGTCTGACTGACGATGACATAACTCATGCACTAGATTGAGTTCAGTCCCAAAGGGATACATTCAAACCTGGTGTCATTTAAGTCGACTCATTTATGTATTTTCTTAAGGGTCTTAATCTGCCGTCAAACTGAATACCCAAAATAATTGGAAGTCGAGGAAGAACGGTTCTTTGATGAGATCCCAAAAGGAGATTCTGTCATTTCTTGGATATAAATCTCTCTCCATTATATACAAGCTTGCCACTTAATTATAGATGAGTCATTTCCGTTAGGGGAAGATGCTAAACTTCTCTTTTTGAGATGGGTGGTAATTTTTTGTTTATCGTTAATTTAATAAATGGAGATAAAGTGCTGAATGGGAGAGGGAATGTGAACTGGACAGATAATGTACAGAATGGGAGAGGGATGTGAACTGGACAGATAATGTACAGAATGGGAGAGGGAATGTGAGCTGGACAGATAATGTACAGAATGGGAGAGGGGATGTGAACTGGACAGATAATGTGCTGAATGGGAGAGGGAATGTGAACTGGACAGATAATGTACAGAATGGGAGAGGGAATGTGAGCTGGACAGATAATGTACAGAATGGGAGAGGGGATGTGAACTGGACAGATAATGTGCTGAATGGGAGAGGGAATGTGAACTGGACAGATAATGTACAGAATGGGAGAGGGAATGTGAGCTGGACAGATAATGTACAGAATGGGAGAGGGGATGTGAACTGGACAGATAATGTGCTGAATGGGAGAGGGAATGTGAACTGGACAGATAATGTACAGAATGGGAGAGGGAATGTGAGCTGGACAGATAATGTACAGAATGGGAGAGGGGATGTGAACTGGACAGATAATGTGCTGAATGGGAGAGGGAATGTGAACTGGGCAGATAATGTACAGAATGGGAGAGGGAATGTGAACTAGACAGATAATGTACAGAATGGGAGAGGATGTGAACTGGACAGATAATGTGCTGAATGGGAGAGAGAATGTGAACTGGACAAATAATGTACAGAATGGGAGAGGGGATGTGAACTGGACAGATAATGTACAGAATGGGAGAGTGGTAATGGATGAGAGGTTGGGAGTGTAGAATGGATGAGAGGTTGGGAGGGCAGAATGGTTGGGAGGGTAGAATGGGTGATGACTTGGGAGGGCAGAATGGATGAGAGGTTGGGAGGGCAGAATGGATGGGAGGGTAGAATGGGTGATGGTTTGAGAGGGTAAGACACAGCGTAGTAGTGGTATCAATAAAATAAGGTGCAGACTGGGAAGAGGGAGTGAAAAGATTGAAGGTGTGTGGACGTCTAAGGAAAGGAATGACAGCAATCTTCACATTAAAGCTTCAAACTACACCACAACGTCACAAATTGCTGTTATTAACCCTTCAAGGGAAAAACAGGATAGTCAGAGGCAAGTACAAATGTATTTATACCTGTCCATTCTCCAGACGGCGGAAGCAGTATCCATAGCCTGAGTTCTCTGTGTAACCATTGATTCTGGGACTGCTCTGTGCCTGGATTCTGTATACTGGTACTCGACCTGCCTGATGAACTGTATTCTGAGAGATGTCCTGGCGTCCACCATCTTTCCGCTCCCCACGTCCGTCTACCCGCTCTACCTGGTGAATGTTTACAGAGGCCTCTGGAGGGTGCTCTACAAGAACATTCACAAGTGAAGCTACTCCTGCAAAGAAAAAGGACAAGATCTAGGCTAGATAAATTATAATCACATTACCATAAGAGAGAGATAAAAATACTCACTGCATGGAAAAGGACAGAAAAAGGTAGAGATGGGTCGAGAGAGATAGACAGACAGACAGATAGATTCAGAGACACAAACACTATTTAGCTTACCCCACTGGCTGTGTAAAACATACCATCTTTCTCTGGTTTATGGTTGGACAGTGGAAGTGTGTAGACGGATTTGGTCTTTGTGTTCTGTTCTCCGCTGCTATTAACCTGGACTAAGGAAGCTATGGGTGCTCCAGAAGATATTGGGATCTGGCAAAATTTTCCTGTGAAATTTGGAGGACACAAGCACTGGTCCTTCTTCAGACAGACACCCCCATTCTGGCACAGCAGAGGGCAGAGGACTGTAAACACAAGAGGTAGATTTGCTTAGGGTGCTAGTTTGTGCTTGGGTTAGGGCTACATTTGGGGTCCGGGTATTTTAATCATTCATGTCCTCGACTGATGGGAATTACAGTCCCAGACTTTATCTTTAAGGGAACAGGCTCACCCCATAACAACCCCATACCCCAAGCATTATACGCACACCAGCCTGCTGTAAAGGTTATGATGCATGGAGTACCCCGACCATATTGCAAGGTTTGCCCTCTGACCTGGGTCCCTGCTAGTCTCCACAATGCAAGATGGCACCGGATGCCTGTGCCCCCATTATAACGTCATTGACATGAGTGTTCTCAAGCTGTCTTGTCATATCAGTAATGGGAGAGGGACTGAGTTAATGGCTCCCATGTAGGTACCTCCATCTAATCTCAGGTAGGCTTGGACTTGTCTCCCTATGTAACCCTGAGATTAGTGGCCCTGTACAGTGCAATGTCACGGTACTTGAAAAGGCGATCAGTCAGATATTACAGTCTGATCTTATAACATGTAACGTGTGTGTTCTGTCTGACAGGATACTGTTAGTTTACTGAATTACTGTAGAAGAATGAGGGAATTAAAAAAACATTTCCTCCAAGGGCCACAAAAAATAGACAAATGTTGCAATTCTCTAACATGACATTTCTCAACACATCAGAGCGACAGGCTCGTCAGCCCACCAGCATCCCTGGTGAGCCTCTCCCTTTCCCGGACTGCCGCTGCTGAAAATTGTTTCTTACAAGATGACCTGCTTACAAAGTCTTTTACACCCACGCTAAGCACAAGCGTGCCGGTGCCTGGTGACGCAGTGACAGTGAGGAGAAGCAGATGGGACGCAGGCTAGTCCATAGCATTCTCAGACTCCTGGATCTAAGCCCAGTCACTCCCGAGATAGTATTTCTAGTGCAATGCCTGACACAAAGCAGACACCAGGGATTCAACACTACGGGGTCTGATTTGGATGGGAATAATGTTTAGAGAAGAACAAGCAAAATTGTCAGTAAAGTATTGTGTTCAGTTCTATAGAGCAGATCCCATGAGGACATAGAGAGGTAGTGATAGTACTTTATAGATCCTGGTAAGATCTCACCTAGAGTATTGTGTTCAGTTCTATAGAGCAGATCCCAGGAGGACATAGAGAGGTAGTGATAGTACTTTATAGATCCTGGTAAGATCTCACCTAGAGTATTGTGTTCAGTTCTATAGAGCAGATCCCAGGAGGACATAGAGAGGTAGTGATAGCACTTTATAGATCCCGGTAAGATCTCACCTAGAGTATTGTGTCCAGTTCTATAGAGCAGATCCCAGGAGGACATAGAGAGGTAGTGATAGTACTTTATAGATCCCCGGTAAGATCTCACCTAGACTATTGTGTTCAGTTCTATAGAGCAGATCTCCGGAGGACATAGAGAGGTAGTGATAGCACTTTATAGATCCCTGGTAAGATCTCACCTAGAGTATTGTGTTCAGTTCTATAGAGCAGATCCCAGGCGGACATAGAGAGGTAGTGATAGTACTTTATAGATCCCGGTAAGATCTCACCTAGAGTATTGTGTTCAGTTCTATAGAGCAGATCCCAGGTGGACATAGAGAGGTAGTGATAGTAGTTTATAGATCCAGGTAAGATCTCACCTAGAGTATTGTGTTCAGTTCTATAGAGCAGATCCCAGGTGGACATAGAGAGGTAGTGATAGTACTTTATAGATCCCGGTAAGATCTCACCTAGAGTATTGTGTTCAGTTCTATAGAGCAGATCCCAGGAGACATAGAGAGGTAGTGATAGTACTTTATAGATCCAGGTAAGATCTCAACTAGAGTATTGTGTTCAGTTCTATAGAGCAGATCTCAGGACATAGAGAGGTAGTGATAGTACTTTATAGATCCCGGTAAGATCTCACCAAGAGTATTGTGTTCAGTTCTATAGAGCAGATCCCAGGAGGACATAGAGAGGTAGTGATAGTACTTTATAGATCCCGGTAAGATCTCACCTAGAGTATTGTGTTCAGTTCTATAGAGCAGATCCCAGGAGGACATAGAGAGGTAGTGATAGTACTTTATAGATCCCTGGTAAGATCTCACTTAGAGTATTGTGTTCCGTTCTATAGACCAGATCCCAGGAGGACATTGAGAGGTAGTGATAGTACTTAATAGATCCCCGGTAAGATCTCACCTAGAGTATTGTGTTCAGTTCTATAGAGCAGATCCCAGCAGGACATAGAGAGGTAGTGATAGTACTTTATAGATCCCCAGTAAGATCTCACCTAGAGTATTGTGTTCAGGTCTATAGAGCAGATCTCCGGAGGACATAGAGAGGTAGTGATAGTACTTTATAGATCCCCGGTAAGATCTCACCTAGAGTATTGTGTTCAGTTCTATAGAGCAGATCCCAGGAGGATATAGAAAGGTAATGATAGTACTTTATAGATCCCGGTAAGATCTCACCTAGAGTATTGTGTTCAGTTCTATAGAGCAGATCCCAGGAGGACATAGAGAGGTAGTGATAGTACTTTATAGATCCCCGGTAAGATCTCACCTAGAGTATTGTGTTCAGTTCTATAGAGCAGATCCCAGGAGGACATAGAGAGGTAGTGATAGTACTTTATAGATCCTTGGTAAGATCTCACCTAGAGTATTGTTTACAGTTATGTAGGGCGATCTCGAGGAAGAATGCCACTGTGTTCTGAAAGCAGGCTATTAAATAGACACTTCAGGGTGCATTTAACACCATTCAAAGCATTATATAAACTATGAAAAAGATGGATATAAATACATAAAAATACTTACCTCGGATTGCTCCACCTGTGCAGTCAATCTGATCTTCCAAATCATTTTATAGGAAAATCACTAGATGATATCACACTCCATGTGGGGCAACCCATTGGGCTTATTTATTAAACACCTCATTGTAGAGAACTGAATTTTCTCTTGGCCCCCAATCCTTTTTGTTGTACAGTAGGAGATCTGCTGAAATGCTCAAGCCAGCTATCCATACCTTATACTAAACAGCACAGGAGAATAGACACTGTAACAATGTACAACAAAAATGTCAAATGACTACAGGCAGCGGTAAATTTAATCAGGATTCCAAAACCTAATTGATAAGAAAAAATACAAAATGAAATAGTATATACCGCGCGCACACTGGGCACTGTAACAATGTAAAAACATTTAAAGAGACATTATAGTCACCACAACAACTTTAGCTTAATTAAATGCCCCTGCAGTCTAACTGCTCAATTCGCTGCAATTTAGGAATTAAATCACTTCGTTAAAGCAGCCATAGTCAGACCATGACTTGTGCCTTGCACAGCCTTCCTAAACACTTCCTGTAAAGTGAGATCTATTGTTTACACTTCCTTTAGTGCACAGTCTGTTTCATTTAGAATTTCTTATCTCCTACTCTGTTAATAGCTTGATAGAACATGCAGGAGCAAACACTGAATAAGTGCATCAAAGTGTCACCAAGTCATTTGAACGGGTAAAAGTTTATTAATCAGCCTAAAACAGTAAAGCGAGCTGGGGTTAAGGCTGTAAACTGTGATTTTATGGGAATATTGCTCATAGGATGGATCCCCAGACATTCAGAGTGGCTGGGAAGGCATCTGGCAAACCATTGAAAGCACAGGATTACAAGACCAGAGACAGTAATGATCATGTAACAGCTGTGGTTAAAGAAATCTTGACATGCGGGGAGGAGTTTGAAAGCCGAGAGGGTTCAGTACAGTGAACAATACAGGCAATTGTGTATAATACAGATACACCTCCTTCTCTGTGTATAATACAGATACACCTCCTTCTCTGAGTATAATACAGATACGCCACCTGTTCTGTGTGTAATACAGACACACTCCCTGCTCTGTGTATAATACAGAGACACTCCCTGCTCTGTGTATAATACAGATACACCCCCTGCTCTGAGTATAATACAGATACACCCCCTGTTCTGTGTATAATACAGAGACACTCCCTGCTCTGAGTATAATACAGATACACCCCCTGTTCTGTGTATAATACAGAGACACTCCCTGTTCTGTGTGTAATACTGAGACACTCCCTGCTCTGTGTATAATACAGACACACACCCTGCTCTGAGTATAATACAGATACACCCCCTGTTCTGTGTATAATACAGAGACACTCCCTGCTCTGTGTGTAATACAGAGACACTCCCTCCTCTGTGTGTAATACAGAGACCCCCCTGCTCTGTGTATAATACAGAGACACTCCCTGCTCTGAGTATAATTCAGATACACCCCCTGTTCTGTGTATAATACAGAGACACTCCCTGCTCTGTGTGTAATACAGAGATACTCCCTGCTCTGTGTGTAATACAGAGACCCCCCTGCTCTGTGTTTAATACAGAGACCCCCCTGCTCTGTGTGTAATACAGAGACACGCCCTACCTGTGTATAATACAGAGACACCCCCTGCTATATGTATAACTAACTGTTGTCTAGATACAGATGGATCTCATTTAGCGACGGTGACTCCATCTTCTCGCTCTAAGCTGCCAACGCCAGCCCTTTCTCAGTGACGAATATATCCACTGTAAGGTACTCAGTGTAGGTTTACTTTGGCTGTGCCCGCAACTGACAACTGGGAATTAATGTGGACATTTACTTAGAAAAATAAATCTCATGCAACAAGAATATTTCCAAACTGTATTGGGTCACCTTGTGTACCCAACACGCCACATACAAAGTGCGGCACACTATATACGCTATACATACTTTTAGATCAATCAGTGGATAACTCATCAATATATCGTAGATTAATTAGTGGATAACTCATAGATATATTATAGATTAATCAGTGAATAACCCATCAATATATCATACATTAATCAGTGCATAAAGTATCGATATATCATACATTAATCAGTGCATAAAGTATCGATATATCATACATTAATCAGTGCATAACGTATCAATATATCATACATTAATCAGTGCATAACGTATCAATATATCATACATTAATCAGTGGATAACTTATCGATATATCATAGATTAATCAGTGAATAACCCTTTGATACATCATAGATTAATCAGTGGATAACCTATCAATATATCAAAGAATCAGTGGATAACTCATTGATATAGTATAAATCGCCCGATCTGGGTGACCAAAATATCCAAAAATCACCCAGATCGATTCAGGGGATCAGGAATTTCCTAGATGTCATAATTTGACCGACCACACTCATCTGCCGATGCCCAAAACCGTTTGCAGTCAGTCTAGTTCAGTAGTTTAAAAACCGAACAAACTACCGAAAAGAGTCAACGTTCTTACCCTGGAGCTTGTTCACCTTGTTCATGGAAACAATTCCACCGAACAGTGCCCTTCTAAATGGTGTAGAACAGAACACAGGCGAACCTGGAAGTCCAGCGGTGTTCGTGAGTTTCAGTGTCCGAAAACAGTTCCATGAACTCGATGACTAAACACCGCTGCTTTCGCGGGAACAAGATAACAGCCACCTCGTGGTCGTTCATGCGAACAGCAGCCACCCAAACAGACAGTTACAACACTGCGGTTAGAATCGTTCCAAGGGCTTAACAAGCTCCCGGGTGGTCTCTGGTTCATGCGGCTGTTCGGTACCCGAACCAAATATAAAATCCCACGAACCAAGTCTGTGCCAATAGTTTTTAAAGGCCCATAATCTTTTGTCAGGAGGCTGGCAAGCAGGCCAGCATTTCTGCCACACAGTGAATAACCGATCATAGATTAATCAGTGGACAACTCATTGATATATTATAGATTAAACAGTGACTAACCCATCGATAAATCATAGATTAATCAGTGAATAAAACATCAATATATCATAGATTAATCAGTGGATAATTTATCGATATATCATACATTAATCAGTGAATAACCCATCGATATATCATACATTAATCAGAGAATAACCCATCGATATATCATACATTAATCAGTGAATAACCCATCGATATATCATACATTAATCAGTGCATAAAGTATCGATATATCATACATTAATCAGTGAATAACCCATCGATATATCATACATTAATCAGTGGATAACCCATCGATATATCATACATTAATCAGTGCATAACCCATCGATATATCATACATTAATCAGAGAATAACCCATCGATATATCATACATTAATCAGTGAATAACCCATCGATATATCATACATTAATCAGTGAATAACCCATCGATATATCATACATTAATCAGTGAATAACACATCGATATATCATACATTAATCAGTGGATAACCTATCGATATATCATACATTAATCAGTGAATAACCCATCGATATATCATACATTAATCAGTGAATAACCTATCGATATATCATGCATTAATCAGTGCATAACCCATCGATATATCATACATTAATCAGTGGATAACCTATCGATATA